ATATGCAAAGGACACCACCCTTATGGCAGAAAGTGAAGAGGAACTAAAAAGCCTCTTGATGAAAGTGAAAGAGGAGAGTGAAAAAGTTGGCTTAAAGATCAACATTTAGAAAACTAAGATCATGGCATCCAGTCCCATCACTTCATGGCAAATAGATGGGAAACAGTGGAAACAGTGTCAGACTTTATTTTATTGAGCTCCAAAATCACTGCAGATGGTAACTGCAGCCAAGAAATTAAAGGATGTTTACTCCTTGAAAGGAAAGTTATGACCAACCTAGATAGCATATTAAAAAGCAGAGACATTACTTTGTCAACAAAGGTCCGTCTAGTCAAAGCTATGGTTTTTCCAGTAGTCATGTATGGATGTGAGAGTTGGACTATAAAGAAAGCTGAGTGCCAAAGAATTGATGCTTTTGAACTGTGTGTTGGAGAAGACTCTTGAGAGTCCCTTGGACTGCAAGGAGATCCAACCAGTCCATCCTAAAGGAGATCAGTCCTGGGTGTTCACTGGAAGGACTGATGTTGAAGCTGAAACTCCAATACTTTGGCCACCTGATACGAAGAACTGACTCATTGGAAAAGACCCTGATACTGGGAAAGATTGAGGGCAGGAAGAGAAGGGGACCACAGAGGATGAGATGGTTGGATGGCATCACCGACTCAATGGACATGAGTTTGGGTAGGCTCTGGGAGTCGATAATGGACAGGGAGGCCTGACATGCTGCATGCAGTTCATGAGGTCACAAAGAGTCGGACATGACTGAGCGACTGAAATGAACAGAATTCACCTGATTGTCACTGAAACCCTCTCAAAAAGTATTGCTATCTGAAAATCATCTTTCTAAAGCAATCAGGAGAATCATGGAAGTGGGCTGAGGTCATGAGGGGTCTCAGCAGAACACCGGTGATGATTCCAGGAGACGCAGACCCACCCTGGACCTGGCATGTGACAAGTGGAGTGAGTGAGTTATGGTGATTTATCTGAAAGATCCCAGTGTCTGCTGTGATTATAAGGAACATTTTTCCTAGATGTGATTATGCTGCTTCATTGAAGCTATTTCTGGAAGAGCTTGTGTCACATGAGGAAATAAGAGGAATTTGGAATTAAGCTCGTGGTTGGGGCTTTCAAAAGATTTAGAGAGAGAGATGAATTACCAGGCTGCGATCTTAGCTTCCCTCTAAACCTGCTTTCAAGAAAGGACCTAAAATTCATCAGATTAATTTTTTCTGGGCTCTTCTGTCACTGAGTTTGATGAGATTCCAGCACAGGATGAATACTGAACCACATGATCTTTAAGATCATTTCCAATTTTGTGATTCTATATTTCAGAGGAAAATAATCTTGGCACTCCTAACCCCTAACTTAACACTATCTCATTTCAACTTAGTGATTTATAGTCTTCTGTTCTTCATCGCCATACTCTTTGTCTGCTTTAATCTTAGGCGAATTTCAAGCACCCAGTTTGTTTTGAACAAACAAAACCAGCTTGCCCTCCTCATCAGTTAGGGAAAGTTCTAGTCTGCTTTTGTGGCCAGAGAAGTGATGGGTAGCTTTTTGCTAGATGAGTTGTTTTTGCTAGAAAACAACAGATGACCCTCTGCCTTCTGAACGTGTGAAGTTTCTCGCTGGATGCTGGAGGATGGCAGTTTCTCAACACCATTTTCATCTGTATGGCACTAACCTTGTCCAATTACCAACTCCCTGCTCATAATAGAAGAAAGGACAGTAACCAGCTCAGTTCGATAGATCAGGAAATTATATTAACGTCAGAATAATCAATATGAAGAAAATAGGATTTGAGGAAAGCTGCTTCCAATGAATGTAGAACAGTCAGCTAGTGTGGCTCTCTGGTCAGCCAGCCTAGGAGCTGAAAGCACAGTGCTGGAATTGTTAGAAAACTGAGGCTCCAGAGCAGATGCTGCCATTGCCTGGGTGTGAAAGCTTGGGCAAAATATCTTCCATCTCTGGGGCTTGACTTCTTCATCCATAAAACAAGGAGGTGGTGGTGTTTTTCAAGTTACCTAATATTTATGTAGAGCTCCCTACATCCCAGGCATTGATGAAAGTGTTTTTTAAGGCTTTCATTCCATTCTCCCAAAGTCCTTTGACTTGGGAATTCTCTAGGAGCATAACAAGAGACAATAATGGAGGCAGTTCACGACTCAGCCACTGGCCACTCCTCTCCCCACCTGACCCACACAGCACCCCATCCCACCCCACTCCTGTCTCCCTGCAGGTCAAGGGATTCAGGAAAGAAAGCTCCATGCAGAGTTGGAAACTAGCTTGTGGAATGGATATGCTGAGATCTGATTTGGTAATTTTCTTTCTTCAGCCTGTGAAGGTCTATTTCTGGGGCTGGTGGAGACAGTGATTGCAAAATTCACTAAGACTAAGGAAAGATCCAGCATGCCCCGAAGTTGGAAGGAGCAGTACAAAAGGATGAATGGGATGGAATGGCCCGGAGGCCTGGAGCCCAGAGGCAGCTAGACATGGAGGTTATGCTAACACTTAACTTGAAGCTTCAAGGGCAGGACTCACTTTTAAGGGCTCATATGTCCAGAATGCCAAACTGTTATTCTCTCAGTTGGGTCCGACTCTTGCCAGGCTCCTCTATCCATGGAATTCTCCAGGCAAGAATAATGGAGTGGGTAACCATTCCTTTCTTCAGGGGATCTTCCCAACTGAGGGATCGAACCCAGGTCTCCTGCCTTGCAGGCAGACTCTTTACCATCTGAGTATGAATTTGAACAAACTCTGGGAGATAGTGAAGGACAGGGAAGCCTGGCATGCTGCAGTTCATGGGGTCACAAAGAGTCAGACACAACTTAGCAACTGAACAACAACGAATGTCCAGAACAGCTTGGATCAAGTGCTCCAGGAGACACTGGAGTTCTTTAAATAAAGCTCTAAAACTCCCTTCCAGCCCAACCTATGGGTATCATGAAAGATATTTTAGGCTGGGGAGGGATGGAGAAGAAACAGTTTAGCATCACCTCATGTTAAGAAAAAAAGCTCTTGGTGGAAATCTGACTTGGGAAGGTATAAAATGTTAAAGCAGTCGATGAGCTGTGGTTTAGAAAACTCTATCATCATATTTTTAAAACTAGTTCCTACACTGGTGGCTGGGGCAGGGCCCTCACTGTTCTGGGAGTCAGGAAATTTATTTAATCCTGGCTCTATCTCTCTAGCTAACTACACCCTCTTCATTAAAAAAAAAAAAAAAAAAATGCTAAGAACAACCTCTGTTCTGCCTGTCCCACAAAGTTGCTCTTTAATTAAATGAACATGTGTCTATTGAAAGTTGTAAACGGTCAATAACAATCAGATGTAAGGTCTTGCACATTAGAAGAATAGCTTATCTGTCAAAATAATTACTGATTTAGAGACAATTGGTATTTTAGCTCCATAATTTTCAAATCTTGCTCCATAATTATGGGCACAGATAAAAATACCAGAAGGAGGCGGAGAATTGAATGGTTGTTGTAGAATCATTTCTTTCTAAATCACCTTTCTTTCCTTGGAAAATGGAGAAGAGAGAGACCCCAAGTTGGCAATACCAAGGAACTAAGGTATATTAAATTATCCTCAGATCACATGACTAACTTTCTGAGCAACAGCATTAAATGAATTCACAACTAACCTGAGTGCAAGAAACTTGTGCAGAAACCAGAGAGCACAAGGAACGTGCTGACAGGTCAATCTCATTTCAGATGTGGAAACAGCAAGGAAACCCAAAGAGTAAGACACCAACGTAAGATTGCCTGGTGTTTCAAGCCCAAGAATACAGTAACGTGTAACTACTGAGGGATCCAAATTCACTTTAGGGAAATAGTCACTGGAAGACAAACTGCATTCTGGTTTTCTACCTTTGGGGAAGCTGAGAAATGAGAGCTATGTCATGGTGGGGAACCAGGCTTTGTGGACTGAGTACTGGGCTCCTCCACAAAGACGACCATATCCTAATCCCTTACATCTGTGAATTTGTTACCTTACATGGCAACGGGGACTTTGAAAACCTGATTAAATGAAGGATCTTGAGATGAAAGATTATCCTGTGTTATTAAAGTATAATCACAAGAGAAAGAGGGAAACAGGAGAGTCAGTCAAGAGAAGGAGAGGGGGTGATAGAAGCAAAGGCTGGGGTTGAGGGCAGGAATTTGAAGATCTGCTGTTGCTGCTTTTGAAGATGGAAGAAGTGGTCATGACCCAAGGCAGGCAGGCAGCCTCTAGAAATTGTAAAGACAAGGAAATGGATTCTCTCCTACAGTCTTCAGAAGGAACACAGCCCTACCTGACCCACTACAGATTTCTGGCCTCCAGAACTGTAAGATACTGAATTCATGTGGTTTTAAGCCACAAAATTTGTGGTAACTTGTTCCAGCAGCAATAAGAAAACATCAGGTGGTTTCAGGCTGTCCTCTTCTCTGCTAAATTTGATGCCTATAAATCAAGGAAGGGCATTCAACAACATGTTAAAACATGACTCAAAGTGAGATACTAAGGATAATGTGTTAAAATAAATCATTAGCTTCCTTGAATTCCATTTTTAGTGGAGTGGTTGTGAATTGTATTCACTGGCTTCCAAGGAAGCAAGAGGGCAGAATATCTGATGAGAATTTTCTAACAGGAAGCCTGTATCAACGGGATGCTTCACAGCTTTGAGTTCGGTACTGCACAGCACTGATGATCCATTCGAGTTCACAGTTACTCCGCCCTCTCTCCTCCTCCTGTTCCCCCAACACATAACCTTATTACAAAGTAGCGAGTATAGGACTGAGGGTTGAAAGCAAGCTGCTTTCACTGAGCATCTTCCTGAATTTCAAAGAGAAAGGAGCTCCCTGCACTGCACCACCCACCTGATCTCTCCCCCTCATCCTCTCTCAAGAAGCACCTTCTGGAAAGAGAAAACGTGGGGTAAAGTATTTCCAAATACCACTCCTTCAACCCAGGTTTTACGGAATATAACCTTAAACTTAGAAAGGACGTTGAACACCTACATGCTCAGACGTGAAGGCAATGAGTCTGGGGACGGCAGCCATCCCTTTCTCCTTGACTTCCGGGAACATCTTAAAGCGCGCAATCAGCATGGCGTACATGTTGGATATAGCGCCACCTAGAGGGCAGAGCAACAACAGTTACCTTTTCTAGTCATTGTTAACATTACGTCACAAGCAAGCAACATTAATTCCACTGAGCTAGAGTCCTCCTTAGACACAGAAGAAAACCGTCTTACTGGTTGTGTTTTGAATTGAATCCTCAGACTCAAAGGCATTAGCCGAGAGGGTCCAAAGGAGTATTCGGCCCAACCCTAGGATGGATTCCAGCCCTCCACGCCCACGTCCGTCTCTGGGGACTTGGGGGTGGCTGGGCAGGGCGGGGCCGGGCGCACACTGCAGTGGACTCTGCTCTTACTAGGAGCCGTTTGAAAAGGCTTCTAAGAACTTAAAAAGTTGACTTCCTTCTCGGTTTGAGAGTAGGTCATTCTGCATTAGATCTGTGAAAATCCTACATATGTCCTCATGGAGAGGACATTTCATTTCAGCTCATGCAGCCCCTTCTATCTGAGCTGAAAAAGATCAGTTGCTATTAATATCGTGGACTGTTAACAATCCTTATAGAATGATAAACATCCAAGCCCATCTCATCACACTCATCTGTTAATTCCCCTCAGATGGCTCTTCCCTCTTAATGACATCATTGCAATATAATTTTAATGGTTACAATTTCATAATTAGGAAGACACACAAGGGGAGTGTTAAATCCATGTTGAACTACTTTTCATGTGCCATCCTAAGACTGTCAAGGATTTCATACCATAGGATTTGTGTCTTATAAGTAGAGTTTCATTTGACAAGCAAAGAAAAGTGAGCTTCTCCTCAGGATTGTTGGATAGTTGAGGATTTTTGTTTACCAGATAGAAGACAGAAAGTTGTGAAAGCAAATGAATATGCTGCTGTGGGAGCTGTGACAACATGATGAGGAGTGAAAACACAATGACCTTCCTCCCCAACCCAAAGGGGGACATGCCCGGGCTCTGCTACCATGTGAGTTCTCTCAGTTCCTTTCCCTTCTGGTGACTGTGGAGCAGGAGGGTTCTCTGTACCAAGCTGGATGGCCCAGGTAGGGTGATGATCTCTGCCTAGTGAGCCCTGGGGTCTGACACAAGCAGGCAACCTGGCACAGAGCAGGCATCACCCAGAGCCTGGCTCTATCATCAGTCAGAACTAGGGCAATTCCTACTGCTTCTGGACCTTAGAGACATGGGATAAATAGAATCCAGGTCAGGCCGGCTCTGAGCTGACACCTTGTCTAAAAGGCTGACTGGATAGGATGCTGCTGGGCATGGGACCAGCTTTTAGGCTGGACAGTTCCATGTGATGGGACTTTACTGGGCATCCCTACTCTCTACCTACCAGATGTCATGAGCACTACATGCTCCCCACTCCCAAATAAACTGTGACAACCAAAAATATCTCCAGACATTGCCAAATGTCCCCTGGGGACAAAATAACTCCCCATTGAGAATTGCTGCCCTCATTATTTTCAGAGAGGCTGGGGAGAAAGGAGGGAGGAAGAAAAAGGAAAGATGGACACAACAAAAGTACACCTCCCAGGACAATGATCCAGAGAGCAGCCTCCCACTCTTCTTCTCACAGCTCAGTCATTCTCCGTTTAAAGGTTTGGCAGCCCCAAGAGGGATAACGAGGCTTCTGGGTCTCTGGACAGAGCAGACTGCACTGTGTAATACAAGCAAGAGGACAGATGCATAAGCCCTACATGCTCTTATTTCCCAGAAGTCTTCCAAGAAAGGATGCAAAAACAAGTCCCAAACATTCTGAGAATCCTGTTAGACAGGAACAGGTTTGTGACTCCAAGCTTTCCCTTCTCCCCCTCGGCCCTTCAGGACGTGCTGAGCAGTGGCGTTCTCCAGTTCCCTCTGACTCCCAGCTGAAGGTGACATCCCATAAACAGATTTCTTCTAGAAGTCTCTGAGAAATGGAGTCTTTCCTGCCATGTTCATAAACAAGGATATCACAATCATCAGCGGACTGCAGCCCTCCAATATGAGCCAGTGAGCCCCAAGGGCACTCAGGAAGGAGAAGAATACCTGTGGTCTGATCTGTGATCTGCCCCAAGGAAGGTCAGGATGTGAAAACCCAGGATACTGGCTCCAGATGGCTGAGATGCATATGAAAGGAATGATTTCAGTGAGTCCAAACTCTTGTATCTTCCCATTCATAGAAAAGCACTAAATTCCTTAATTTGGAATAGCTGGCTTCCTTTAATTAACAATAATCTTTGGACATTCAGACTACCAGCCCTTCATTGCAAAACTTTTGTATATCCTGGCTCCTCCCCTCAACTCCTCAGAGGAGGGTTACTTGAGATGCTGCCTCCTAGGCTTAAGTCCTAAAAATTTCCACCGAATAAAACATGATTCTCAACCATTAGGCTGCACATTTTTTTTTTTTTGGTCCGTCTCAAAGAACTTTCCATGAAGCATGACGCCACTGGATGTTATAGATGAAAGTATAGAGAAACTTGGCTGAGCTGAGTATTCAAGCCATGGACCTAACTCTCCATGTCTAGTCCCAGGCAATGGGACTGTCAGATCTCAGGCACATAGATGTATGATTTTCCCTGTGTTCACCGCTTAAATCATAGACCCTTTCTCCCAGAAACAAGGCTGGATGCTACCCAGAAAGGCATCTGTTAGCAACTGAGAAAGCCATGATCCATTTCCTCTCTGTAATGCATTGTAGAAAGCAGAGCAGAAACAGGTTGCTAATGACCTTTTCTTCAGTCTCCTCCTGATTTTGCAACATCTGCCTTACACTGTAGCTTCCCAGGTGGCTCAGAGGTTAAAGCATCTGCCTGCAATGTGGGAGACTGAGGTTCAATCCCTGGGTTGGGAAGATCCCCTGGAGAAGAAAATGGCAACCCGCTCCAGTATTCTTGCCCGGAGAATTCCTTACACTGTACACCTTACACTATAGTCTGGCATCTATAGCTTCCATCTTGGGAACTCAGAACACATGGATCTTCAGGATCCAAGGAAGGAACGTCAGGATTGAGCTTAAATCTTCTCTACCTGATCATTCCCATCATTGATGGGGGTGGCAGCCCTTAGTCCATACCTGGCTTAGCACAACTGCCAAAGAGGAGTCTTTCTCTGGGTGTATATTTTCTGGGACAGGTGTGTTCCAAGACCAGCCAGGTAGGTTAGGCCTGGTTCAACTCCACTTAGTCAACTTTTCCAGGTCCACGGGAGCAGCTGTTCTCTTCCCACTACTGGGAACCAGGAACAGAGAGCCCAAGGAGCTCCCAGCTCCCTGGGGACAGCTCAGTCCCCCAGCCACTCTTACACGAGGAGGCAGAATGAAGGTAAAACAACGTTCATCTCTGAACTTTGCCTAGTTCCTCATGAAAAACACCTTAAAACATCAGTTCCAGTTAATGATAACAAACTTACCTCAGTCAGGGATAGTTTTCCAAGGGAACACTAAATGCTCAGTTCCCTTCAAAATGAAACTAGCCTAAAATTCGCATCACAGCTGGTGTACAATGATTTTTTTTAAGGCAAATTTTCCCTTTCATTTAACTAACACATTTTCCTTCAGCACCTGAAAACATATGCTATCTCTTTTAAAACAGAAAATGAAATAGCTGATCTGAGCTTGTAGATAAAGTTGCTGAATTTAAGACTTGGCCTTGAGGCCACTGTTATTCCTCATCATGTCTTTTCTGTCTTTTCATTTCATTTTCTCTCTCCTTTGGTATCCCCCTGCCTTTGCAGATTTGCTAAAGAGGAATCACGACTTCGCCTTTGCTCTGCCGGACACGATGGCCGGTGTGGCTCTGGCCTCCCCAGCGGGGCCAGTCTCTGGGTACCAAGCTCCAGGGCCAGCGACGCCCATGACTCCCCTCTCCTGCTGCTGAGGAGGTGACCGTCTGTGTGCCAGGTTTCTTTCTCACAGGTCAGTGGCTCTCTCAATTCCCACTGCCTTCCTAGCTTCTAGTTCTCTGCATCAAACCAAAGTCACACACACAGATCTGGGAACCCAAAGCAGGACTTTCTGTCCCAGGCTGACTTTCGTGGCTGGAAGAAGTATACATAATAGAGCTTAGAATGCAACGGCTGGTGATAAAAGGCCGAGTGAGAAGGACTAAATGACCTCATAAAGAAAAAAAAAATGGGAAACCTCTGAAAGAAATCATTACCCTTTTCTTTTAGTGCTAAGAAACTGTCTTCCAGGCACTTTCTGTCCTACTTGAAAATTGTGTGGATCAGCTTCCCTGCTTGTTCCTTGAAAGGGACAGTGTACAAAGGCTCTGTTAAGTAAACTGTACCTGTTATTTGCCCTCAATCAGAGAATGCTTTATTCAGTGAGGGCACCCTTCTCCTTTCACTGACACTTGGGAAAGTACAATCCTTTATTCCCTAATTTGCTTATTAGGAATCTTTATTCCTTTGTTCCACACAATCCATGCATCCTGTATATAGGATCGCAGTAGAAGTACTGGGTTAATATCGTTGCTGATTATCCTCTAAACACAAAAAATTAATATCCAAGCATGGAGTAGTTGACTTGGATGCATGGTCAGTGGTCACATGTACTTAATCCCAATCTCCAGGATCTAATGCCTGATGATCTGAGGTGGAGCTGACAAAATAATAATAGAAATAAAGTGCACAATAAATGTAATGTGCTTGAATCATCCCCAAACCATCCCCCATGAAGGGTGCATGGAAAAATTGTCCTCCACAAAACTGGTCCCTGGTGCCAAAAGGTTGGGGACCTCAGGTCTATTTAACCTAAGCAGAAACACAGGCTAGATAATTAATCATTCCTATGTTCATAATAAAGTGAAAGCTGAGCACCGATGAATGGATGTTTTTGAGCTCTGGTGTTGGAGAAGACTCTTGAGAGTCCCTTGGACTGCAAGGAGATCAAAGCAGTCCATCCTAAAGGAAATCAATCCTGAATATTCATTGGAAGGACTGATGCTAAAGCTGAAGCTCCAATACTTTGGTCATCTGATACTTAGAGCCGACTCATTGGAAAAGACCCTGATGCTGGGAAAGACTGAAGGCAGGAGAAGGGGTTGACAGAGGATGAGATGGTTAGATGGCATCACCGACTCAATGGACATTGATGATTGATTTTGATGATGAATGATTTTGAACAAGCTCCGGGAGTTAGTGATGGACAGGGAAGCCTGGCTTGCTGCAGTCCATGGGGTCGCAAAGAGTCAGACATGACTGAGAGACTGAACTGAACTGATGTTCAAAATAAGGCATGACAAATCAGAAGAAAAATATGAAGAAAGATTAAAATATCACATACCAGGAGAAAATATCCCATCGCCAGAGCCCCCGGGCCAGCCAATGATTTCTCTCATTTTCTTTAGCGTGACATATTCCAAGAGCACGAATACTGGAGCAATTTCATAGGTGAACCTGAAACATAGTAATGGCCACTTTTGATGTCTGCCACTCAAAGGAATGATTCATCATTACAGTATCTACAGGACAATTTCCTTCTTCAAACCCTACTTTCACAAATGTGACAATTACAGCATTAAGCGGACAAAAAGGGTTTGCTCTGTTTCCTACATTCATAAGTCAAGAGTTTCAGTAATAGGTTTCATGCACAAGGGTCATTTATCATAGTGAATAAATACATTGCAGGGTAACATTATAACACTATCTAAAAGACAACATCTAGTACCATTTCTCTCTCATATGTAATAATACATCCAGTATGCCCCCAAAGTGTCCTTTTTGTTTTTAAAACATGATGCATAACTTTGATTGCATGAAAAAGAGGTCAGGACTATTTCCTTTTAAGGAAGAGTGAATATCCATACTCTTCTGAAGTTTGTGTCACTATTGTAGGGGCCACTTAAAAAAAAAGACTTTTTTTTTTTACATAAGAGGTAGAATAAAGATTATGAAATGTCATTAATAATTATCCTGGATTACACAAAAACATATTTAGCTCCTTACATGTTAGTGTTTGCTGTTGATGTCAGCCAGTCTGCTGCTAATCCAACCATATCCAGTCCGGTAGAAAGTTGATTGAAATACCTTGGATGCCCTGAATTAAATGGAACACCAGAATCAGGATGAGCCCATTGAAAATGAATGCCTCTGAAATACATGATTTCTCTAGATGAAGAATCTTGAAAGAGCCTTCAGTAATACGAAATTCATACTCAGAAACCCATCTCACGCGCGCACACACACACACACACACACACACACAGAGCAAAGGAGCATTTCCTTTATCAAGACAGACTGCTTGGTGTTGTGATATTTCTTAAAACACATGCTAAAAATCTTTCTTTAACCATACCCTATAAAAAGATAATAAATGTGGTTTGCAATGTGGACACTAGTTTCTTTTCTAGCATTCTTTCAATATATTTGCAGATTCAAATGCTGGGGCAATCCCAAGCTACTAAAAAATAGGCCACTTCTTGTTTACACTTGTGCTGCTAAAAAACCCTTTTCCATTAAATTGTGCTGGGAATCAGTCATATACCATGACATCTGCCAGGCATGCCAACATCCATATAATATCAGTGACAAATGGCTGATGATCAGAGAAGACAAGGCAAAAATGAGAAAATAGGACACTCTGTTGAGTGATTTACCCTGGATTCAAAAGGCAATGACTGTCTAAAGCTGGTATGCTGCTGCTGCTAAGTCACTTTAGTCGTGTCCGACTCTGTGCGACCCCATAGACAGCAGCCTACAAAGCTCCTTCGTCCCTGGGATTCTCCAGGCAAGAAGACTGGAGTGGACAAATGTAATTCTTGTCTATTTTTTTCTACCTGAATATTTGATTCTAAACAACAGAGCTCCTTCGTAGTTGCAATTCAAAATAAAGCTAAATACAGCCAACCTCCCTGTCTTGTCTACAAGATACATGAAGGTATAGTCAACGGATTGATCAGTCCCTCAATCAGGCTTGTCTAATTAACTTTTGGATTTCTCTAAAACTCTCTAAAGGGGTTGACACCCCAACACTCCTGAGGCTATTATTTAAAATGTGATTGTAAAGATCTCATTAGACTTCCATTTCTCTGTCCTACTCCGCATAAGCCTATCTATAAATCTGTGATGTTGTTTTGCAGCCAAAAGCCTGGAAGATTAACAATTCTGGAAACCGCTTCTTATTAAAAGGCGTCTGCCACTTACTGGACACCTGTCTGATGCCTGGGGATGTGACAGGCTCTCAGGCCAGCCTGGGCAAAACAAGATAAAGGTAGGCAATGGGGAGAGCAGAGACAAAAGTCAACACAAAGCTTATCTCAGGGACCCGGGGACTGCTGTCTTATCAGCCTCCAGCATGTGGCTAGATGAGTAGATGCTAAGAAGAGCTGGGAAAGAGCACATTTTAAAGAGACTGGGCAGCTCTCACTTATTCTCCAGTATGGCATTGTTTTACATCCCTATAGCCTTGCAGGGTGCCCTTTGAGCTTTTTGCTCTTTCCCAGGCTGTCTGACGCTGCTCCCATCAGTCTACAGGTCCACGGAAAGGGAAAAAGCCTTCCTGGCTGTGGCTGCCGCTGCTGTCTGCAGCAGCCCTCCACCCCTCTCTGCCTCATTGACTCCCCATTTCATTAGCGCTCACAGCTGAAATCATAGCTTTCACCTCCCTCTCGGTGCCCCTCCATTCCTCTTTCCCTAAGCCATTTCTTTGAAATGAGGAACCTAATAAGGATCAGCACATCTAGCCATTAATTGACTCTCTCAACTCCTATGCATTTTCTGGATGAATCTGGTATCTTTCACCTCACACCAAGTCTATGCACCCTTTGTCAGGAAAACCTCTGCATAAAACTGAGTGGGATCCCAAGACCTATGTCGTGCCCCAGGTTATCAGAAGGTCAGTTCACCCTGATGACTCCCTCTGGGAAACTATGGTAAGAAGTGCCACGCTGCAATTGCTTGGCTTCCTTCTTGTCTCAAATTTTGACCTTGGTCTGTTTCACCAAAATCTCTCCAGCCTCAAACTTTGCATTCGCTGATAATGATGTGGAAATATGCAGGGAGATAGTTTGACAGATCAGAACAGAATGTCCCCTTGGTTGCTGGCTTCCCATGAACTGTAGGCTGCTGGCAAATTCAGGCAGGGTTCCCTGAGACCTGCCTGCCTGCTGCCCGAGTCACCCTGGCACCCAGCTGCTGTTGCTGCCCCCACCCGGTCCTGTACTGCGAGTCAGCGCCCTGCCAAGGAGGCGAATGGCCATGCGCTGCCGCCTTGGAGACGGCGAGTTTGAAACCAGGCGCTGTTTGTGTTTCTGGACCGCTCCCCACAGATTAGCAAATGAGCCAAGAAGACTCTGTGAATAGCCAGCCCCAGGCAGCTCTGACCCTGGTGTCCACAGTCCATTGGGAAGGGGCCCCAAGTCAGTCCAGACTGTTCTCTCTAGACCAGCAACACACACCCACGGACGGCACATTTACTGATGCTTCAATCCCTTTGTCTCATGGCTGGGTTCATGAATCCCTCCACTCCCCAGCCGCCACCACTAACGCCAAACCTGATGACCCCAGCAAAGCCTAATTATTTCAGAACTTTATCATTCTCCACACTTTTCCATGTTCTATTCCAATATTTCTTACAGAGGTAATTTTAACAATCAATAAAGACTTCCCTACCTCCCCCCTCTTCTCCCTAAGCCTGGAGTCCAAGTGGAAATTAGGTTATGGACTCTCAGTAGTAACATGCTTTTATAAAGGAGTATCCCAGGGAATATTAACACATCTAATGGTAACAGTGACAGCAACTACTTCACAGAACTTAAATAGTACTAGTTGTCAAATACAAGTTATACATGAAACCTATAAACTTGCCAGTCAAAAAGGAAAGTGGCAGCTGTTAATTATTTGAAATGTTATTGGGGATGGGAGGAAGGACCAGAAGACTATTTGTGTTATAAATAATGTTGTACTGAATTAATATTGATATGCCTTGGTCAGAAATCCAACTTAATCATATTTTTTCTGATCTTTAAAAAAATATTAGAGCTACACTGACCAACAGTTTCCCAAGCACTATGGCAAAATCTAAGTATTGAATTGGCCCATCTTTTCCCAACACTAAATGGAACATTGACAGAGCTATTGCTTTCATTGACCTGCAATTCTCATTATCTTAACTCTTTAAATTGCATTTCAGACCCCATCAGCGTTTAAGGATGAAGATATGAAAACACCTTTATAGATTCTTTTTGGCTTGGTAACAATAAAAATAATAGGTAGCAAATTACTGTTAATGTATTAAAATGTTAGGTTGGAGAGTAGGTCAGACAAAAATGAATTAAAAGCATTGCTCAGGCTTGCACCTACAGATATACAAAAATCTGGAAGGAAAAAAACATCTTTAATGCCTAGAATATACCTCATGTGGATCCTCTGTCAATATAACTGAGAATGAAATCTAAGATGCCTTAAAAAAATCATACTCCATAGACTGAGTTTGATAGAAATCTCCAAGTTAAATTCTTTCTCCTATGTATTTAATTCTAAGTCTATAGTTTCACAAAAGTGGACAATGAGAGTATAGGAAATCAATTTTCCAAGGCTTCTATGCATATCTAGCCTGTCAATAAAAAGAATTCACGAAAACAAAAATATAGCAAAACAAAGGGCTAAAAGTCACACAACAAACATTCTTAAAATTTGTTTTTGATTAGAATGATACTGATAATTCATGTAATTCTAAATTTGCTGAGAAAAGGATCATGTTTCTAGAGTAATTAATGTTTTGTGATATTTTACATATTTATTTGTTAGCAAATGTTTCTAAGGCTACAGATCAATTTGGATCCACAAAGTCTTCCCTCCCTTCCAAATTTATTCATTCTTATTTTTATTGCTTTAATGAAGTCTATGGCCACCATGTATCAGGATGATTAGAGGCAAAGCAGAAAAGGCAGGGGCAATCATGACCCGGGGAGATGAATAGTTGATTTTGTGTAGCTAGAATGAAAGCTTAGAATACACTCACATATATGTTACACCTGGGGCTAAAAATGGATGGAGAATGGAGAATACTGTTTAAAAAAATAAACACAAAATACACTAAAAATATTGTCCCTAAGGATATCTGATTTCCCTCTATCTTTTTTTTTTCCCCTTTATCTTCTATACAAAGTGGTTAGGAAGCACATACATCCTTGTATAACATGGCTGAATTGTTAAGCTAGTTTGTATTGTGTTTTCTTTTGTGTACATTTCTTTAAAAATAGAGAAAAGCCAGAGGTCACATCTGAAGTCTTAGTCTCCTGAGACAATGCCAAAATATTACCTCTCTGCTTCAATCATTACACAGGATGATTTTTTTCCAGCACTGACCTCGTATTTGGGCTTTTGTTTGGATCATGCCTTTTATGCTTCCATTTCTAGATTCTCTTTCTTTTTTTCTTTCTCTATAGTAGAGTCACTTCTGCTGGCCTCTACCGACAAATGGTTGCTTCTACATCAGTGGATAATTTCCATGGCCAAACAGTGCAATGTAAAATCTGATGATTTATACTTAGGTAACATTTCCGACTTCAAACCATGAACAATAACAGTAAAGGATGCTTTTGACATTAATCATTCTAATTATCACTTTTTTAATGATGAAAATCACATTGTAAACTTGAAATTATCAATAACTCCATAAAATAAAACATTTTCATAGAAAAAAATAAAAATCATAAATGAAAAAAGAGCTTTATTATTTCTGATCAGACAATACCTGTTTTAATTGCATATTTTAGAGTTGTTTGGCAATGCATCAAAATTTCCTCCAAATTTTGTGGTTGGTCTGCCAATTCCCAATTATATTCTTGAAGAAGCTCATTAGGGTAATGAAAATCAATCACTTTGGTTGATCTATCAAAACTCTTCACCACATACTGAAGCAAAATGTCCATAACCTCTTGCAGAAATGCCAAAGTGGGCCTTTCTCCATCACACGCTGGTAGCAGATCTAAGAACGGAATAAAAATGCCATGTTTTAATTTTACAATGAAAATATCCAGGCAAGTTCTTCATTTGACACTTTCTCTCTGAACGGAGATTTTATGTAAAAAAAATCTCCTGGGAAAATAGAGCATCTTCTTTAAAGGGGAGGTATTTTTCAAAAATGAAGGATGAAAAAACTATGATTTCTTTCCTAATCCCAAATTATTTCTTGCATTTCAGTTCATAACTAATTTGCTTCCTTTTTCTATCTTTTTTTTTTTTTTTTTTTTAGAGAATATACCTCCATTCATCTGTTTCGCAGGGGTTCTCGCTAAACGGTATTTCTCAGTAAGTCATCTTAAACGATCACTTCAGGTCAGGAATGTCTGAGGAATGCCTTTGGGTAAATCGGGCAAAATGGTTCATAGGATTTTGGTTATTATTTGGCTTATTATTATCCTGTGCTACCACAGAATCTCTGGCTTATTAACGAAGGCCCGCTGTTTTCAAAGTCAGTGTGTGTGTGCGCGCTCGCGCGCACTCGCACACTGGGTGTGCAAGCACGAGAGTAAAACTGCGCGGTTTCATGTGAATCTTTCTCCTGAAATCACAGCTACAAATTACTCTTGCGATCTGAAGACATACAGAGTCTAACCTATTTTGAACAAGAAACTACATCACACCGTATGCCTCGGGGGCACGGAGAATAGGACCTGAAGCTAGGGTACGCCGGGGCCCCTCGGCCACCCGGAGACCCGAGGGCGGCGCTGGGCGCAGAGCGCCGCGGCCCCGGGGCCCGCCTGGAACCCCGGAGCCCAAAGCCAAGCAGAGGCCCGGTTCCGGGTCCGACCGAGGGGGCAGGCCCAGCGTTTCTCGAGGTCTGCTGGAGATTCTCCTAAGGTCTACTCCTGCCCTCCACCTCGACGTTCCGGCGCCGGGTCACTCCTAGCCACGGTGGACGAGACAGGGCGAGGGGCAAAAGCTCCCATGACCCCGCGAGGCGCCCTTACCTGTTGCGTGTAGAAATGCATAGTTGACCTCCGCTTTGGGGCAGCTGCAGGGCTTCTGGTTGCAGGCGCAGGCGGCCTTGCGGGAGGTGCCCCGCGGGGGCTGGCTCCCGCCGCTCTCCGCCGGCTTCTCGGCGTCTCCATAGAGCAGGGCTGGGCAAGGACAAGGGGCGCGGACCTCGGTCAGCCGCCCGCCGACCGGCTCCCAGCCCCCGCCCCCCATCCCCGGTCCCTAAATCAAGAATATCCGACCCCTGACGGGATGCTGAGGTGTGAGGGTGGCTTTGACCTCCTCGGGCTCCGCGGTGCCTGACCATGTCCGCCTCCCTCCCCCGGGCGCCCGCGCAGGCACTCACCGCACAGTTTGTTTCCGATGCCGCCGGTGAACTTCTGGGCCACCTGACACCAGGCCCTGGCTGCAAGGAAAGACAGGTGGGAGGACAGCGAGGCAGAAAGAAAACGGCAGACACACGTGTGAAACGTCGTTCTTTGTGAACGACCTCAATAAACCCGGGCTCCGGGAAGGGCTGCCTTCCTGGCGCCGGCACAGCGAGCAGGTGCCAGAGGTGGCGGGAGCCTGGCGACCCGGCCCGACCCTTGGCTGTTTCCTCAGAAGTGGCCCACACTGTGGCCCTTTGCACTTGCCTTTCAGGCACCACTAGGTTAGGGTAAAGTCTCCTTCCTGCCTCGCTTGGGCGAGTTTTCCTCGACACCCGAGGCCGTCCATTTCCTCGCAGTCTCTCCTTTCAGATCAACAATTCTCTCCCCTTTCCAATTTTCCTTTTCCCCACCACCTCTCTCTCTCCAGACACTAAGACGGTGGCAGACTCCCAGGCCCAGGAATTCGGTATCGAGGCGACACCGCCGTGTTTAGAGGTTCTCCCAGAGTTCAGCGGAAAGGACCAGAGGGTCCCTGGGCATCTTCCCAGGGGCATAAGAGCCTGTGGGGTTTAGTCTGTTGGGTCATCAAGGACCCACCCCGAGGGCAGGGCTAAGCGTCCGAAGTTTCCTGTTGCAGGTTGGAAAGCCTCCTTCAATTTTCCCCAGCCCCGCAAATCCCAGTCCGCCCGCAAAGCTCTCCACCTGCAGGTCCCGTTTCTCCTACCTGTGCCGGGGTTCTCGGGATCCCCCGAGCCATCTTCAGATCCGAAGGACCAAAAGCCGGAGCCGGGAGATGCCATCGGCGCTGCGATATTGGAGCAAGATGCCTCCGAGTGCAAACTGCCGGCGAGCTGCCCTCCGCTCCGCCCTGCGCGCGCGCGTGCGTGCGTTTGTGTGTGTGTTTGTGTGTGTGGCGGTAGGAGGAACACCGCGCGGGGTCTGGCGCGGCCGCACGACAGAGGGTGGGTGTCACACGGGGGCAGGAAACGTGCGTGTCCGTGTGCACGCGTGTGTGTTGGGATTAGAGTTTAGAGAAGTGGCAAAGCTCTGAAAGCTTCGGGGGGTGAATAGAGGAGAGGATTGAAGGGCCCTCACTGCCGGGAGATGGGAAAGCGCCCGAGAGCTCGAGCGATTTTGAAGGAGAGGGAGCCCAGCCGGGATAGACGAGGGGGCAGCGGAGGGAAAAACTGGAGGGAGGGAGCTGAATCATGAGAGTGCGAGGCAGACAGTGCGCCCGAGCAGGAGTCAGCGAGAGCGGGTGGGAGGTGAGCCGGCGACCCCTGGGCAGCGTGCGGCTGGAGGATGCTGACGACCCCAGGGGCGCTGTCCAGAGTGCTAACGCGGCGGACTGCGCGCCGGCATCAGAGCGGGTAGACCACGGAGACCTTGGCGAGGCGGGAAAGGTGGCGGAGACAGTCTTTTATTTGCAACGATTGGTGTATTGTTTGAGGGCTGGTTCCGGCTGCGGAGAAGGCGGCGCTATGCCCGCGCCACCTTCCTGCGAGAGAGAGCTGAGGTCGCTGTGATTCCCCCCACCCCCACCCCCCACCCGGAGTCCCAGCGGCTGGGGGAATCTGGAGCGGTTCGCAAGCCTGGGAAGGGGACTGTAGGGAAGGGCACCTAGGCACCGATGGGCTTAGTCCTGCTCCTTAGTAGAGCCTAACTCTTGCCCACTGAGCCGCATAGTCTCCCAAAGGTGGGGGCTGGGAACCATTCCTGCGCTTCAGAGCGCTTGGTCGCCGAGCCCACTGTTCAAGTTCTGACTGACGGCTTGGGAGAAAGACTGCTGATTGAGGCAATTAAAATTCATGCTGGAATCTATCACCAAGAACCTCAGGCTGGGCAGAGAAATAATACGAATGGAAACTTCTTGGAAGGAGGCAAGGAAGAACAACTAGAGCCAGCAGGATTGACGGCTGATGGCTGATGGGGGATGCGGTCGGGTCATTCGGTGACCTTGACCGGCGAAGGAGTGGAAGGGTCGCTGCTTACACGTCAGGGGAATCGTTGTGTGCGTGAGAAGCCTGCACAGGGTTTCCAATAAATCTGAGCCTTCCAAAAGCGGAAAGAAAGCATGACCTCCCTGGGTCCTGGTTTTATCGAGCCTCAAATCAATGACCACCTCTTCCCCTAAGGGAATCATCGCGATGGCGTGAGGTGGGGCGGGGCCAGACAGGAGAGTCACAATTTCTGGTACTTGGTGGGAAGGGGTTTCTCTTTTCCCGGGAAAGAATCTGCCTGAATACAGGAGACACAGGAGTCGTGGCTTCGATCCCCGGGTCCAGGAGATCCGCTGGAGCAGGGCAGGGCAATCCACTCCAGTACTCTTGCCTGGAGAATCCCGTAGACAGAGGAGCCTGGTGGGCTACAGTCCATAGGGTTTCAAAGAGTCAGACACGACTGAAGCAGCTTGGCACGTGTGGACGAGATCATAATCTCTCCGCTCTTACATTTTCCGTTCTCAACAAGCTATTAAACAAAGGTTGGGGGGGGGGGTGCCTTGAGAATGTAAGGCCTGTTGATTTCGCTCTGCATTCCCTTGGCAGCAGAAATCAGTGTCAAGTACACCCTGCAGCTCCCAGGAGCGGGGAGAGAGGATGAGGATGACTCCCCTGCGTGCTGCTCCCCTGGGGCAGGTGCTTTTCATTTCCACTGTATGCACAGTCCATTCTTTCTCTGATCGCTGAACCAAGTTACCAAAACCGCTGCTAAAGCAGAGAACAGTGGATCCTTAGACTACCATCCCTTGGCCCTGGCTTAGGAAGGATGTCACAGGACCCAGGGTGGCCAAGTGCAAGCCCAAATCCTGTGCCCCAAGGCACGCGGTGGCCTGGTCAGTTCTCTTCACAAAGCTGTCTTCTTCACATGAGCCTGGAGGAGCCACAGAATCGGCACCGTGGCGGCCAGATCCGAGCCTGGGAGTGGGTGCGGGGGTGCTGGCCGGTTGGGCTTTTGCTCAGCTCAGAGCCTGCTGTGCCGAGAAGCCTGCGCCAGGTTGTGGCCACCAGGTTGACAGGAACACAGGCCGGCATCCACCCTCTTTCCCAAGCTCCCAGCTCCCAGCGCCAGTGGATCCACGTGACAACTCCAGGGGTGTAAAGACTTCGTGGGTTGGCCATTGGCGCCGCTGGCAGGTGGCTCTGCAGCTCCTGCTCCTCAGCGAAGAGAGAAGCTGGAGACGAGACCCATTCTTTGCTTAAATCCACTCCAAATCCTGCACGTTTCACTTCAAGTCAGCAGGCTGGAGTTGCAGAATTTTTCTACAATGGATGAATGGTCGAAAACAAAAATATTCTTTAAAATAAATGTTTTAAATGCACACAAAGCCTCGAAGAAGGGAACGGATTAAAATACAAGAAAGGTAGAAATCACAACACCGAATTTAATAGATTTTTTTTAAAAAGCAATGACTTAACCTTCTTCTCTTTAGATAAACTGCATTAAATCAGAAACTCCAGAGTGTTTTTAATCTAATGGTGATATTTACATTTTTTTATCTAACACACCCACTTCAGATGCACACAGTATCTGATTTGTCTTTCCTTAATGCCCGCCCTCCTTAGACAGGCAATTTGCTTTATAAAGACTTTCATTTCAAAAAAGAGCCCGCTCCCCCCCCCCCCCCCCCTCATTTGGGCTTGGGTTGGAGATAACAAAAGAGCTCCGGGAGGTAATAATTACAGTCATTAGTTCACAAAGGAGGCAGCCACCGGATGGGGAAGGGAGGCGGGCCAGCGCTGGGGAAGAGATTTCGAAGGCCCTCCCTCGAAGAAGGGAAGAGACTCACGCTCCTAGGGCCGCCGGCTAGGGTTGGTTTCCTTGGTTGACCTATTTCTTGTCAGTGGTTTACCCAGAGATTGCCTTGCAGGCCTGCCAAAGAAGAGTGTCTGGTATGAATTTTCCCTTAAGTGTCAGAGGACAAAGAAGAGATGGAAAGAGCGAAGGGAAAGGAGAGAAAATGAAGAATTCAAAAGAAGAAAGGAAAACAAAAACATTGCAACCTTTCATCACGTGTTTGCTGCTCTCTGCTCTAGTCCCCTTCAAAAGGGGGGTGGTGTGGACTTTAGGTTGGGGTCCAATTGCCTCTCTCTCCAGCAACAGGCCAGGCTGCCAGGGTTCTGGTCTGTGGGGCCACTCTGGAAGCTTCCACTGAAGAGGACTGGCAAAGAAGCAGAGCTGCTTTTGTCCTCCTAAGGCCTCCTGGTTGTGGTGGACAGGTGAGTAGTGGCAGAGGGGGCCGGGACACTTTGGGTTAGAGATATCCCTCCATCTCCTCCCTGACAGTGCCCTGCAAGGGCTGGTCTCTTCTGGGTGCCTGGATCAGGCCCAGCCCATACCCCCACCACAGCCCCGCTGCCGGTCCACACCCCAAAGGTGGCTCCTCCTTCCGGGTCCCAACCTCCATGGAGACATAGGCAGCAACTCAGGTTAAGGAGCAAGGCCTGAGTGCACTTGGCCTTGGAGCTCAGCCCTGCATCAGTGGGAGGCTTCCGCTTGCAAGGGGGCCCTTTGTAAAAAGAAGAGGTTGTTGGCATCATCAGCTGCTTGGGTTGGAGAGAACCTTACCACCCATTGGAGAGCACCGCAATACACGCTGTTAGCCAGCTGCACATGTGCTCTCACTCCCTCCTTGAATACTTTCCCCAAGACCCCCGGCCCAGGGCAGGAGCTGGAGTGCAGGAGCTGGGGACTCTGGCAAAAGAGATATAACCCTTCCAGCCAACTCGGTCGTCCAGGAAACCACTGCACCTTCTTCCCTCTCCTGTTCCAGGCTGCGCAGACTCTGAGGGCATCACATCCACAGAAGAGCTTAACCTGAGTTTTTAAATAAAATGCAGTCAACTGAGGAAGGCAAACGAGTTGCCTACCCACCACCATCCCTTCCATCTTAAATACACCAAAACTCAGAGCCCAAAGACAGCCCCACACCTGAAGACTAGGAGAACCTTCAAAATCGGACCGCTCAGCTCAGTGGTGGGACCAGAATTTTTATTGTTGTTCATTTGCTCGCTCAGTAGTGTTTGACTCTTTGCGACCCCCATGGACTGCAGCACCCCAGGCTTCTCTGTCCTTCACCATCTCCCGGAGTTTGCTCAAACTCATGTCCATTGAGTCGGTGATGCCATCCACCCATCTCCTCTTCTGTAAGGAAGCCACCTTGGATGGGAAGACTTTGAGTGTGTGAGAGGGTGGGGCTCTATGTGTGTGGGCGCTGTGTGCTGCAGGATTTGGAGTCTTGTTTAGAGCCCACGTTTGTGTCTAAAGTACGGGCGCTTTTTAAGTTAGAGGTATGTTCGTTTGGGATGGGGGTAGGGAGCGATGTTATTCGTTTATGTTAGACAGAAGGCACCGTCTCCCCTCCCTGGGCCGTGGCACCTGCAGAGCTGGGCAGCGGGAACCTGGGCCCTAAGGGGAATCCGGTGGAGCACATCCTTTCCAAGGCATTTTCTTTATTTGATAGCCTTAAAGACCAAAGCAAGGGAAAGCGCGAGTTTGGGATGAAGTTCATCTTCAAAGTCGGCCCCGCCCCCCAATCCCCGGTGCTTTGTTCGCTTCTCACGGACTCAACCCCTCAGCGAGGATCCTGCGGGCCTGGCAAAGCCGTTTCCAAGAAAGAGGAAATCTTTGAAGTCACTCAGAAGGAGAGATGAGGGGTCTGCGAGAGCTCAGGCGCAGTCGTGTCCACAGGAGGTGTCGCAGAAATGAACAAAGAGACACTGGGGGCCGGGGCCAGGGACGCCCAGCCCGGCGGGCGGGCTGGTGGGAGAGGAGGACGCGGGAGCGCGGAGACGCCGCGTCTGAAGGGCTCTCAGTTCTCTGCCCTCCGAGCACCAGCGGCTGGCCCGGGAACTCGAGGGCCAGCACAGCGGGCAACCCCTGCGAAGATCAGATCCGCAGCCCTAGTGCCTGATGGCGCAGAGCCCGAGGGTCCTCCGCTTTGGCCCCGGCAAGCCCCATAGTCTCGGGCACATCCCGACGGCGCTGACCGCGGAGCAGCCGGGCTACACCTGCTGAACGAGGCGCCGGCGCTGGGAGGTTTTGCGCAGGAGCCTCCTGTAGTCGTAGGGGTTGGCGGCGGGCCCGTTCTCCTCCTCCACGCCGTCCTCCGCCGCCCAGCACCTGCGAGCGAGACCCGGGACCCAGCGTCAGCGGCGCGACCGCGCGCCGCGCTTCCCCGCCTACCCCGAGGCAGGCGGGTCCTTCTCCCACACCTCCCACCTTCAGAGGGCGTTTAAGAACCGCACGTTCAAAACAGCAAGGCAGTGACCAAACCGATTTGCTGTATTTCCTCAGCAGGTTTGCAAAACTCCTGAGGAAGGAGCAGATGGGTTGGTGGAACCTGGTGAAGCCTAGTTGTCTGAATGACAGCCAAGTAAAACATCAGAAGGTGTAGTTCAGAAAGGTGAGCTTGGTTTGGCTTGAAATAATTCACAACCAATAAATACTTCAGTACCTTCTTCTTAAACAGGAAACGCAAGCTGCCTCTATAGACAATCATTTTGCAAACACTCAGTTCTTTCTTTTAAACGAAGCGCGTTAGTCACTCAGGCGTGTCCGACTCTTTGCGACCCACGGACTGTAGCCCCACCCCCACCCCCAGGCTCCTCTGTCCATGGAATTCTCCAGGCAAGAATACTGGAGTGGGTTGCCATTCCCTTCTCCATGGGATCTTCCCAACCCAGGGATCGAACCGGGGTTTTCTGCATCGCAGGCAGATTCTTTACTGGCTGAGCCACCTAAATGCTCCCCCCAAATTGGACCAATCACTCTGTTAGCTTTTGCAATGTTTCAACATCTTCAGTGAGGCTGTTGGGCCACCTTCCTGAAGCCACTGCTGGGAAACCCTGCCAACAATTACCTTTGGGTTCTGCAGCTTGCCTGGGGAGAGCAGGGAGCTTCCTAAAATGCAGCGTTTTTCATCCATTCATTTATTCATGGAGCACCTACTCCATGTAGGTGTAGGTGTACACAAGTCCCTACTCTCCCAGGGTTTACCGTCTGGAAGGCGAGAGGACCATGGACAGTTCCAGTACTCCAGGTGGTGAGAGTTGCTCTACAAAGAAGAGCCAGGCGGATGGGTGTATGTGTGTGTGTGTCTAAGCAATTTCATAGAGAGTGATCAGGAAAGGACTCTCTGATGAGGTGACATCTGATGGGAGACCTGAAGAAGGGGAGGAGGGAGCCAGGCAGATCTCGCAGGGAAGGGCAGCCATTCCAGGATGACAGGAGATCCCCATTATAGTCCTAAGATGACAGTGCGTGTATTGTGCTCATGGCACAGCAAGGAGGCTATTACGGCTGGAGTGGAGCAAGTAATGGGGAGAACAGCAAGGGATGAGAGTGGAGGGAGGAGGGGACAGTGTGACAGGCAACGTGGAGCTTTGAGACCATGGCAGGGCCTTGAACAAGAGAGTCACTGGAGGTTTTGGAGTAGCAGGGTGATTCAGTGGAAGTAAAGAGGCCTGTGAAAAGACTGGGCAATAGTCTAAGCAAGCCTGAGGAGCTGAGAACTGGTCAGATTTTGGTCATCTTGGTAGGTCGATCTGGAAGAGTCAACTGAATGGATGTGGGGTATAAAAGAAAGGAATTAAGCATGTCTCCAAGGTTTTTACCTAAGACAACAAGAAAAATGAGGTTGCCATTTAATGAGATGGGGAAGGTTGCTGAAGGAGTATATTTGGGGGCAGGGAGGGATAAAAGATTTTGGTTTCAATTGTGCTAAGTTTGGGATACTAGATATTCAAGAGGAGATACTGAATAGGCAGTTGGATATATAAGCCCTGATCTCAGGTAAGGGTATTCTCAGTTTTAGAGTTTTAGGTAAATAGAGGATATTTAAGATCATGAGAGTATACCTTGATAATACAAAGGATGAGACTCTCCAGTGTTGAGAGGTCAGGCAAATGAAAAGAAATCAGCCAAAGGGAATGAGAAGGAGCAGCCAGTGAGAGAGGAGGCAAACCAAGAGAAGTACTTATTGTCCTGGAAGACAGTGAAGAAAATGTTTGAAGAAAGAACATCACATGCTACTTATAAGGGTGAGATAAGGATTGAGAATCATCTCCAGATAGGATGATCTTGGCAGGGACAGTTTCCACTGAGTGATGGGAATGGAAACCTGAGTGTGGTGGCCCAAGAAAGGATGGGAAGAGCGGACCTGGAGGAGGCAGGATCACACTTTTCTATCACTCTTCTGCTATAATGAAGACCAGGAACACGGGTGCTTTGCAAAGTCAAGGTGGACCTGCAGATTGAGTCAAGGGTGCTTCTTATGATGCATCCAATTACATCAAGTTCACAGACTCTCAGAAATGATTCCATAAAGGGAACAGACATTCAAGATGTAGAAGAGAGAGGGGACAGTTGCAGGACAATGTTCTGGTGAACACGGAAGGACTAGGATTCAGTGCACAAACAGAAGGTTTGGTCTTAGCCAGGAGGACAGACATGCGTCCAGCTAATCACTGGCTACCTGCCACCTGCTTCCATTCATTCAAATTCACAAGACACTCAACTCTTCATTGCTGTTGTCCCTGATACCCAGACCTGCTCATACCTTCCTGGTATACTAATGCTAATATTTGGGGTGTATGTGTTCAAAATATATATAAATAGATGTAATAAATTATCAGAATAATGTAACAATATTTACATATAAATATGCACTATATATTGCTATATATTGGAGAAGGAAATGGCATCCCATTCCAGTACTGCCTGAAGAATTTGATGGACAGGGTGGCCTGGTGAGCTGCAGTCCATGGGGTCACAAAGAATTGGACATGACTGAGTAACTAACACACACACATATTTCTATACAGTATAAATATATAAAAAGATGTAATATATTTGTTTATAAAATAATAATTTAAGATGTATAAGATATATAAAATATTCCAACAGATAGTTTGGCCTGAAGCTTCTCTAACTGTCCCAAAGATCCTTCAGAGCTGTTTTTCTGTTTTGTGTTTTATTTTAAAGCCAAGATCCTATCAAGGTTGATCTACTGCACTTGGTGGCTTATCCCTTTAATCTTCCTTAGTTTAGAAATATACCACCTTGGAGTTGCCTGTCAGCATGGTTAGATCAGTATACTTTCTCTCTACAGCCCAGCTCCTCAGATATGGACATAAGGATCTTCTATCTGTATCTTATGCACCCCTGCATTCATTGTATCTCTCCTTCCTCTAGCACCCAGCGTGGGTGCCTTGTCATCAATTCTAAACACACAAAGGCCTGTGCTCAAATTTTACTTCCATTACTTATTATCTAGGTGACTATATGCAGTATAAAACTTTGCAGACTTAGCCTCCTCATCTATAAAAAAGGAAGGTGAGAGTAATGCCCCCACCCCCGCCCCAGCTCCTGGGAAGAGTAAATGAGATCCGAGCAAAGACAATAAGGTAAGAGCACAACTGAACACTCCACTGATGCGAGCTTCCAGCTTCTCGTCTAGTGAATGCTGACTTCACATCCTTAGATGCCACTGGAATGTCAGGATAGAACACGTTCACAGCAGATGTGTGTCTGCTGCTGGGGGAGGGGAGAACACACTGGAGCGGAGTCAGACTGGCCTGTCAAAATGGGGAGCAGCTAAGTCAGTGAGAAGCCAACTGAGCTGGGATCGAAAGCTCTTGGATTTTAGTTCACGCACTCAATGTGGGACTTCGGGCACGTCCTTTAATCTCTTGGGCACTTGGTGTTCTCCTGTATAGAGTTCTGTGGTTGGACCAGAGCATCTCTAAGCCCCAACCTGTTAACAGTTCTCAGCTCTGAGATGGAGGAATACATCTTCTTTTGGAGACAAGGGGCAGAAATCATAGTTCAGGTTGGTTCTGGACATGCAAATAAAGAGAATGGCGGCCACCATTTATGGAACAACTTGCCGGCACCATGTCTGGCATTAATCACATCCGCATTCATCATTTCACCTCTCCAACAACAGGGAGAGGCAATTAGTAAATCCTTTTGCAGATGTGGAAACGGAAGCTTAGAGAGGCTCAGTAACAAGAGCATGGTTACTCAGTAACTAAGTAGCAGAATCAGGACCCAAATCTAAGACTCTAAAGCCTCTTCTCTTAACCACACATCACACTGTCAAAGAGGTGGGTGAGGCATGTGAGTGCCCTGGGCCAAAGGATGTTCACTTAGAATGTCGGAAAAACAGCTTTATATTGCCTGGTGTTGATCCCATTTTTCATATACCACATGTCCATCTTGTTACATGCCCTCAATTTCAAAACTTTACCAGGAATGTTTTGGGGAAAGAAAAAAAGATTCCCCAAATTATAAGTAAGCTACAAATGGTTTGAGTGAAATATCAAAGCTGGTGGCAAAGTGAAAATCATATCTAAAATACACATTTCTATATGAAACTTTCTCCCAAATATTTTTTTTTGGGGGGTCTGACATCATTGATTCTGAGAAATTATATAGCACCATCAAAAACCCATAAGTTAATAAAATCACGTTGGTTATAGCTTAAACACAGGTTGTGGCTACTACTGAAGACAGGTATTGCTTACAGTTAGTATGACCATATCACTTGTCATCCAAACTGAGGTATTTTAAAAGGAGATTCTATTGATGATCGGAGAAGGCAATGGCAACCCACTCCAATACTCTTGCCTGGAGAATCCCAGGGACGGCGGAGCCTGGTGGGCTGCCATCTATGGGGTCGCACAGAGTCGGACACGACTGAAGCAACTTAGCAGCAGCAGCATTGATGATTACACCAAGAAAACAAGTACACACTGAGACTGTGCTAGAAAAACTGGGCTATCTGATTACCTACCATAATCCTTGATTTTACTTTTAAACAACATATCAATCACAAGATGCAATATTCAGTAAGAACACTTTGTCATTAAGCTAGCAAGCTTAATCGCTTCAGTCATATTCAACTCTTTGTGACCGCATGAACGGTAGCCTGATTAGCCCATACATAAATGAAAGTGCTCTAGAAATGGAACAGTGAGTATAACATTGAAAATGCCGTACTTTAACATATACTTATTACCTGTCATCAGCTTTGAAACATCGGTTCTGGAGTTCTTGCTGTTGTCTTCGTTCTCTTAAACTAGGGTTGTGGTCCTTTGGTCCAGGATGACTGGGCAAAAACTCCTTATAATAGAAATCCTCCAGATCTAATAATTTCCCCTGACTGCAAATGACCAAACACACCATAGTATCAGGCTGTCTACTCACCAGAACCTACGAGATACTTGGCTTCTTCATATAAAGTATTAACATTCACAGTAATCAAGTCACACATGCATGCTAATAGGAATGAGAGAAGTCTTGAGATGTGCAAAAAATAGTACATACCATAAATTAAATTAAAAAGAAAAACCACTCACCTCTTACCTTTAAGAGAGTATTTAGCTGCTGAAAATGCTTTTCCAACTTCTACTACATCCAACTTGGCACAAAACTAGCAGCTACTAGAGAGTTGGTGATTATAAATACTCATTTGGCCAGGGCTCACAACTGACCCTTGGGCCACTATGAGGAAAGTTGACCTCTATGTCCCAGCACAACCATTTCCCAAATTTATCCATCAGCCCGTGGTGGATGCACACAGGGCGTCATGATCTCACCTCACTTCCTTCACAGGCAACCTCTGTCCTTCCCTATCCCCTGGTCTTTGGGGTATTAATTTCTGTACTAGATTTTAATTCGTGCACAAGAAACACATGCAGGGTGTGTCCTCAACCACTTTCATTTGTGGATCTACTCAAGCTATGCTTCTGGTTCCTGTGGTGTTCTGTAATCTGATGGGACTTCATCCGAGGTCAAGAGGTAAAGGTCTGGAAAACTACTAGGTATTACAGTCCTTTGGGGAAAAGCTCTTTTCAAGTTAAGATAACCAATTTGTAAACACATTTTCAGAATGCCACTGATTCATAAACAGGGAACTCTGTGTCCACTCATGCTTCTCAGAAGAACTCTCAATTGTTTTGAGCACTGTCTGGAAATTAGTTGATTGAAATAGTGGGATGATATTAAAAGCATGGACTGAAATGTTACAGGGAAAGGGAAATAGTTTGAATTGAAGTGGGCCACACACGTAGGTGTCAGAAACCTCATCTTCCTGACAAATTCATAGCCATTATATTAATAAAATGTAAGATTTAGCTCGTGTTGAAGAACAAAGAAGTACAAAGGAGTTTGGGGAAAGAAAGCTCATGAACATGAGCATGTTCAAATAGCTCAATCAAAACCATATTAATGGGACAAGAAAGGACAATTCTGTACTGGATGGCACAATTTATTCAAAACTGTCTGAGTTCTCAGTATATATACCATGCACTGCGTTTCTGCTTGTGTCTGAGTCTTTGCGACCCCACGCACTGTAGTCCGCCAGGCTCCTCTGTCCCTGGGATTTCCCAAGCAAGAATACTGGAGTGGGTTGCCATTCCCTTCTCCAGGGGGGTCTTTCCCAACCCAGGGATCAAATCTGTGCCTCTTGCATTGGCAGTTGGATTCTTTACCACTGAGCCACCTACTGCTCTGGGTTTAGCTCAATGTATATTTTCAGTAGGCAAGATCTTATAGATTATATATAAACTCCATATTTAAAAATTTATTGACAGCACACCACTTTCCAAATCTATGCATACAAAACAGGTGGCCTTTAAACATAATTTGAATATATAGATTTATATTTTGGTTTGACAAGCTATTAAAACTTAAAAATAATAATTACCTATCTTTCCTTGGTCTTCGTTTTTCTTCTTGGCTTGATTTCTAAAGGGAATATAATAATTAAAAAGAATCTATATAATATTATGATCTTAATATAAGTAATGGATATATTACTATAGTATTAATATATAAATTATATTTCACTGGGTTCTAGCTCAATATATTTGAACTTTTATATTTACATGTTGAAAAGAGTATATATGTCTTTTAGGCTAAGGAAACAAATACTGCAAACAAGCTGAAGATATTATAATTGTGGAAACACTAATGCAAGCATCAAGTTGATTGACACCATAAAATGCAAGATAATAAAAATGCCTATTAATAATAATGGTTTGTCAATATGAAGAGTTTTCCCAAGTTATCTTTATAGATACACTGAATCACTTTTTTCTCATCATTTATCAATTTTAACACCCTAAAACATTAGGTGAGTCAAATATTTCATAGTTTGCTTTCTTCTTATTGGTTGGTATTGTAGCCAGTGGATGAGGCAGAAGTGAATGCTTACCTGCACCAAGTCTGGGAGAGGATCATTCTGGAAATAACAATGTTAGGGGCAGGACACCAAAGACATTCCAGTCCTCCTTAACATTTCCTGTTAAGCACATTCCTGACTCAGAGCCTGAGGCTAGGAGGTGCTTACAAACAAGGATGTACCAGCAGTGGTACAATGGCCCCCAGCAGTTCAGCTAATGATCCCCTGGGACCCAGGTGCTGTTTGCTGTGGTGGTTAGTGTTTTAACATGAGAGGTCCTGCCTCCTTGATCCATCATCTGAAAAAATGTCTCTCTTGTTCTCGACAACAACTTTCTATAATATGAAGAGATGCTGAATAATGTTGAGTAACAGAGATCCTCTTTCTACAGCCAAGAATCAAATACTGTTCTGCCCTGGCAAGAACCACTTTTTCTTCTGGATCAGTATTTCTGTCTGGGAGATGCTATATACAAGTTGGTTCTCAGTTACTGAATTCTTAAGGAAGAAATATTGTCTTCACTTTTTTTCGCTCTCGTCTGTGCTAGAATACTCTTATGACATGTAATTCAGTGGTATATTTTTCCAAAATTATTTAAGATGGCTTATAATAGAAGCAATTATGTAGTCAAAGGAATAAAATAGGACCTGTAAATAAGGAACAGAGAGAGAGAAAGATGAACTTTAAGACAGAGCTTTACATTTAATTGTCTCTTAGTTTCCTAGGCTCTAGGGCAAAAGTTAGGGATGTATGTGATGGCATTCTTCATCATGAAGGATACTGTACTACCTAGAAGAGGATTTAATACACATTTTATCACTGGTGGCTTTATATTAGGGCACTTACATACTCATCTCAGAGATATTGCAGATTTGGTTCCAGGCCACTGCAATAAAGTGAGTATCACAATAAAGCAAGTCACACAATTTTTTTTTTTTTGGTTTCTAGGTGCATAAAAGTTACATTTACATGGGACTTCCCTGGCAGTCCAGTGGTTAAGAGTCTGCACTTCCAATGTAAGAGGTGTGAGTCAGATCCCTGGTTGGGGAACTAAGATCCCACATGCTGTGTGGTATGGCCAGTTTACACTATGTACATTCGTACTAAGTCGCTTCAGTCATGCCTGACTCTGTGCGACCCTATGAACTGTAGTCTTCCAGGCTCCTCTGTCCACGGGGATTCTCCAGGCGAGATACTGGAGTGGGTTGCCATCCCCCACTCCAGGGGATCTTCTCAATCCGGGGATCAAATCCGCGTCTCTCCTGCATTGACAGGATGGTTCTTTACCACTAGCACCACCAGGGAAGCCCAGTCTATACTACACTATAGTCTATTATAAAGTGCGCAATAGCATTATGCCTTAAAATGCATACCTTAATTTAAAAATTTAAAAATACTTTATTGCTAAAGATGCCATTAAAATGCTGGCAGAGGGTCTGAAATATTTCAAAAATTACCAAAATGGGACACAGAGACAGGAAATGAGCAGATTAAACTGTGTTGGGGAAATGGTGCCAATAGACTTTCTGAATGGTTTCCACAAAACTTCAACTTGTTAAAAAAAAAAAAAAAGTACCTGTGAAGCACAACAAACTGAGGTATGTTTGAAACTAAGACCAACGATGTCTTGAATTAGATATTTTAAATTATATTTTAATTTTCATTTATATTTTGTCATACTGCATGACCCACAGAATCTTAGTTCCCTGACCACAGATTGAACCCATGCTCCCTGCATCAGAAGTAAGGCGTGTTAACTACTGGACCACAGGGAAGTCCTCAATTAAAGTTTTGATATGACAAATTGAAAACCTGAAATTTAACATGCAAATAAAGAACCAAATGTCCTGTGGCAGGTTCTTGCCAAACCAGAGTAAAGAAGAAAGACAAGGAGACAGAGATGACTTAAGAATGAGATCTGGTGAGGATGTATTCTGAGGAAGCCTTTGAAAGAACAGAGGTCTGAGTTTGGCAGACTCTGAAGAAACCCTTCCTCGGTCACTGCATCTTACTCCGTCTCCTTCCTACGTGACATAAGGAAATTTGCTTTATGATAAAACTTGAAAATTCACCTTCATTACAACATAATTGACACACTCTTACCTTCTTTTTGGAAATACATGAATGCATTATGTATTCAGAGGTCTTCACAAGGATTAAGACAGGAGCCAAAATGCAGACATTAAAAAAAGGGACCTGGGAGCAGGTCAAACCACCTGCTGCTGTGGTTCGGGGAAGACTCCAGAAAAATAATGGGACCAGAAGGGGCTTGTGATTGGACTGTTTCTATCACTCACTTTTTGAGGAAGCTGTTGGCCCTGAGTCATTTTGCTGATGGCCACACAGTTTCTGGACATTAAAGCAGACACCATGCCTCATGACAACAGAGTGATGTATCCAGCTAACATTCTCTCATCCAAGCCACGATTCTCAGCCTCAGCTTACTCTTATTTTGGACAGGACAACAGCAACATTCCCCTGATGTAGGAGGTTAACAGAATCCCATCACAGAAGAGAGCTGCTATCGGCATGAAGGCAGCTGGAATGACCAGAGTCAGTGGTGATGTCCAGGGAGAAACAAAAGCTGTATTAATGGGCGAGACACCTGTCAGCACAGCTGCTCATGTCAGGCAAGCACGGGGGGCGCCACGTCCACAGTCTGGCAGCGCTGAGAATCTTGTCTAAATACATCCTGTGTTTTTTTTTAGCAAATAGGCTCATGATGAGCAACAACAGGGCTATAAGAAGGAGCAAAGTCTCTGTCTTCCTGGAGCTTCTAGTCCACAGGGGAGAGTCAGACAGGAGACACGCAGATACATATTTATACCTGCTATGAAGAAATATGGAGCTGGGCCAGGCAAATACAGAAGCAGGTGCTGCTTTAGATATGACTGTCAGGGAGCTTCTCTGATAAGCACAGATGTGAATAAAGTACAGACATTTTTGCTGACTACAGTGGCCTGGGTCATGAAGAGAAGGCTTAAAATATGCAGCATATTTTAGAATGATATTCATGAAAACCATTTAAAAGTATAGAATGTGTTTTGATGTTTAAAGGGCATGGGGCTCCATCACAGCTTAAATTTCACTTAATGTGTAACCTCCCCAAATCCAGGGAAGAGCCAGATAAATATGAATCCATGGTGTGTTTTTACTTATAATAATATACTAGTTTTCTATGTTTGCTTCACTTCAGCCACAGATTTCAAGAGTCAGGGCTATAAAAGAGATTTCAGTCACTGATAATTTAAGATGTATGAAAACACTTTATATTCATTTTAAAAATAACAGTATGATGACAAAGTAAGTTTCTTGAGAGTTGGGACTCACTTGTGAGTCAGCTATATATATTTAATATATATACTGATTTATAACATTGCAAATCAACCATATTTCAATTAAAAGTTGTATTTTGAAAATAAATGAAAAAATATAGAACCAAAATTGTGGTGATGGTTGTACAACTCTATTTACGCTGAAAACCATTTAACTGTGTACCTTGGGTGAATTGTATGGCATGTGACTTACATCTCAATAAAACTCTGTGCCTGCATGTGTGTGTGTGTGTTCCTATAGTATATAGGTCTGTGTGTGTGTGTGTATATGTATCCATAGTATGTATTGTGTGTGTATGTACACACACACACACACACATGTATGGGTGCCTTTGTCCATCACACAGAATATGTAAAATGAACACTAGGCATTTTGATATTTGAGTTTGGAGAAAGGGGTAGGTCTGAGCCAGAGACCAGGATTCAGGAATTGGTAGAAACAGAGGTCATGGCAGCTGATGAGAGCATCTGAAGGTAATGGAATGAGAAGAGAATCTAAGATTGAATCCTAGGCAACACCAAAGGGAACAGGACCCTTCCAAAGAAAGTGGAGAGAAACCACCAAAGAGAAGGAAGAGGACTAGGAGAGGGCTGATCTGGAAGTCAAGCTTCATTTGATGCCAGGGAGATAGGAGACAATTCCAACTCACGGGAAACCTTCTCTGGGTTCTTTGGGACACGGAGAATTGTTGCTCTGTCAACCACGCAGGGGGAAGGGAATAAGTACTCCAAATAAAAGGACCAGCAGGAGCAAAAGACTCGGAGGCATGGGAGGCTGTACACCGGCAAGATGCCAGTAGGTAACTCTGGTCAGTGGGCTGGGAGGAGGCATTGTCCCGGGTCCAACAAGGAAGGCATCTGGGTTTGATGCAGAAGGGGTGGCCAAGCTATTTAAGGTGCTATGCAGGGTGAGAATTACTACAGAGGCTGAGATCAGAAGCAATTAGGTGGGGCCTGAACTATCCAGGTGAGGAATGAAATAGTCTGAAATAGGGTAGCTGCCGGGGTGGCCGGAGGAGGACGATGAATCAGAGCCAGCCTTTGTGGGGAGAAAACAGACTTTCGAGTGACTGATTCGATGTCAGGTTTGAGACAGCAGGCAAGACTCAGGCTAGCCTCCCAGTTTCCTGGTGTAGGTAACCAGGTGGATTCACAGAAAAACAGCAACCTGAGAGGAAGGACCAGCCGGCGGGCGTGATGCCAAGAGCTCCCAGGCTGCTCACTAGGACTCAACAGGAGATGTGGAATCAGAAGGCCTGAGAACAGAGAACGACCCTCATGGCTCAGAAGTGCCTCATCCACGTCTCAGAATCCTGATCCGGGAGATGGGGATGCCACCCTCCAGGCTCCTTCTCGAATTCGACGTCAAATGCATGTGAACACACCTCACTCTGGACCGAGAATTTAAAAGGTCCTCAATAAGTATCTCCTTCTCCCCCTCCCTTTCTTGGGGACTCACCCTTTCGCACCAAGGGCCCTCTCTGGAGAGCTCCTGCTGTGACACTCTTCTCTTTCTGAGTTGATATTTGCACATCGGTTCAGATTCAAGGACTAGCAGAGAAAACTCCCGGGAGGCCACAGGCCTTTGGGGACCCTGTGGTGGACCCTGAGGAAGAGAGGCCAGAGGACAGGCAAGGGTCCAGGCCGCCAGCCAGGGGAGGGGCAGGGGAGGAGAAACCAACGGGCATCTCCTTCTTGACAGGAGCCCTCTCTCGACAGGACTGTGTGGTCAGTTTCCCTGGTGGCCATTAGGGGGCACTACAGCTCCCATCTGATAATAAGATCAAGCCTCTGGTGGCTCAGAAGGTAAAGAATCTGCCTGTAATGCAGGAGACGCAGGTTCAGTCTTTGGGTGGGAAGATCCTCTGGAGAAAGGAATGGCTACCCACTTCAGTTTTCTTGCCTGGAGAACTCCAAGGACAGAGGAGCCTGGCAGGCTACAGTCCATGAGGTCTCAATGAGATGCACATGACTAAGCACCTAACACACACACTTACATGAAGCAGAGAATAGTATGTGGAGTCTTCAGAGTTATTTAGTGTTTTGGGTTTTCGAGGCCGCCTTGGGGGTCTCAATATTTTTGGCTCCTCTCCTTTTGAGATACCTACAAGAAAGGTGATCATAAATAAGGACTTCATTACCAAAGGAATTATTCAGCAATGTTTTCCTTTAGGGTTAAAGAACAAATTATATACATACAACTGGGGCTAAAACTGAAGAAAGAGGAAATTCCTTTGTTGCCCCCACCAATCCTTATTATAATCTTCACCACCTGCTTCCTTCCAATTGTCTGATGGTCTAGGACTTTGAGAAATAAGGGCAAGAGGAAGAAAAGAACTGCACAGTTTGTAACATGGAACAGCAGCTCAGAGGATGAGTGGGGCAGGCAAGGAGAAAAACTGCCATAAAATCTTAGAAAAGGCAGATAATGCTCACAGAATTCCCTGTTGCTGGCCTTATACAGTGACCCACCTATCCATCCATTCATCTAGTCATCCATCCATCCATCCATCCATCCACACACCGCATGATCTCATATTATCATATTATCTCACTCTAAAGCACCACCTCATATTATGGCCCAAACCAAGGGACTGCTAGTCTGTAGGCGGGCCTCTTTTCTAGACGTCTAATCTAGTCTTTCAACAATATTTAGAATCTCAAACTATTAGGATGCTCAGATTAGACTTTAAAAATGCCGGCAAAGAAAGAATTAAGTTTGTCCTCCTTCCCTTGCTCTTTCACAGAGCCAAGTTCTCCCATTTGTAGCAACGCCATCAGAGCTCCCGATGGGCTTCACACTTGGAAGTCGGTGCTCCTTACAAATGGCTTTATACGCACAGAGCTAATAGGCTTCTTAGGGATTCCCTGTGGCTCAGACAGTAAAGAATCTGCCTGTAATGTGGAAGACCTGGGTTTGATCCCTGGGTTGGGAAGATCCCCTAGAGAAGAGAATGGCTACCCACTCCAGTATTCTTGCCTGGAGAATCCCATGGACAGAGGAGCCTGACGGGCTACAGTCCCTGGGGTCGCAAAGAGTCGGACAGGACTGAGTGACTAACAATAGGCCTCTTACAGAGAATTTCTGTCTATTTTTCATGATTCTTGGTCCCCATCCCTGAACGCATCTGTATAGGAATCTCCACACGAAAAAATATTTCAAAGTTGGGCAAGGAGTGGGGTGCAGGTGCTTAGTGGGGAATGGCCTATATTCAACAGATATCTGAGCACATATTTTCTAGTGGGACTTTAAGGGCATCACTAGATCATTACTGCATATAATAATGGGGCAATAATAATTCCTAATCCTCAGAGGTAGAAATACACAGAGAAACCGAATTGTTCTAAATCTTTCTAATCAAATCAAGTCAAATCTAATCAAATCAAAGAATATCTCCTACTTACATGTGTAAGCAGCCATGACTGCCAGCATAAAACAACTCTAACCAGGATGGAGACTCACAGATGGCTAACTTCCTAGTCCCAGCCCCAGCCCCCTATGAGAACAAACTTATGACAAGAGCATTCACATCCTAATGTTATCTACTTCATTCATTTTCAACTGTATGGGAAATTGCTGGATGACAAAGATCAGCTAGCTGGGAGTATGTCATCGTGGTGTAAGGCGTGGAACAAAGTGGACCAGAGAAAAGCAGGACAATCATTCATCACTGTCATTTTTGGAATAAAACAAAAGAAACCAAGATCGCGGTACATGAGATCACATTTATAGACAGCAGAGAGAAAATTTTAAAAGTAATGAATTCAAAAGAATCCTGGAATGTATGGGATGGTCACATTTACATAAAATTATAAACACGCATGAGGGAATGTGCATATTACAGATATAATCTCAAAAGATGTTGAATTTTCAGAATTTCTAACTAATTCTTATATCTTGCAGAATTAACTTTTTTCTTCACCAGGATAATGGGAAGCTTGGGCTGAATAATCTTAAGAGGTGTCTTCCCTTCAGATACAACCATATTAGTGGGCAACGAGTAGGTGAAAATTATTGAGGAATGTACTCAATAGAGTCTGATCATTCAGATTAAACCTCCCCAGAATATTTTGTATTTTTGAAGAATAAATTGCCCATGAGTTTATCAGCATACAAATATTTCAGAAAGGCACAAGTTTATTTTGCCCTCTAAATTTTTGTTCCTTTGGGGGCGTACAAACATTGCCTGCCAACGTCATCCTAACTCCTTAATTATAAAAGTGACATAAACATTTATAATGACAAATTACCAGCAACACATCAATGTTGGCAGTAGCATAATTAGGTTTATGACCATTTTGTGTGACGTGCATGATACATATTAGCTCTTAAAGGTTGTTGCTATATTAAATAGCCAGAAGGTAAAACACTTATTTATATTGTAAATTCTGCTAATAATTTCATTAAGTGTTTGATTCTGTCAGGAATGCACATTTAAAAAATAATGAAAGGACAAATCTCAACATTTTGCATTCAGAAGGCAGAAGACAGACTTAAAACACATTGCCAATACGTGCTCTAGAATATTAAATTTCAGCATTATTCTCATTTCATGATAATTATACTATTTTACTTAAGTAAACATGCAGAATATAATTTGCCAAAGTATCACATGTCTAAATCAGATATTAGCAGCATAGAAATGCATTGATGTTACTGTTTCTTCCTTAAGAAATCTGTTTTTCAGTTTTGGTAAATTTCTATTTACAAATGGTCAGTCTGTGAACCTGAAGCAATATAAGGACCCAGAAGAAATCTTAGAAGGGAGGAATGCTCATGGCTATGTGTTAAAGGCAGGATTCACCATAGTTTGGGTTGCAACCTGCCTTCAGGAAGCTGCTCTCTCTGCCTTTCACCTTGTCTGCTCTTCAGCCAGGCTAGGTGCCCTTGGAGAGAACTGGGTGCAGATTCCAAGCTTGTGTGGATAATTCAGTACCTCTGTGCTCCTCTCTGCCTTGCACTGCCTCATGCTCTGAGTTCCCAGAGATATTTTCACTTCTCATGCTCGTTCTAGATCCGACCACTTGTTTTCCTTCCTCCTTCCTTTGGATTTTTCCTGAGATGATGTGTTATAAGCGCAGGTGCCTCTGAGCACTTCAGGCGTGCCGTAGTGTTCAGTGGATCTGTCTCCAGGCTCCTTCTGACCTCAGAAGGCAGCTGCCAGCCCCACCCCCATTTGAACCTGCTCAACAATTACTTTGGCTCTTCCTTCTCTTTGTCCAATTTTTCCCCTTTGATGTGGACCCTTTAAAAAGTCTTCTGAATTTGTTACAATATTGCTTCTGCTTTATGTTTTGTTTTTTTTACCACAAGGCATGTGAGATCTTAACTCCCCAGCCAGGGATTGAATTTGCACCCCCTGCATGGGGAGGCAATGCCTTAACCACTGGACTGCCAGAGAAGTCCCTCTTTGGCTCTTTTGTTTTTTTTCCATCAGCAGACCACCGATGCCTGAGAGCCAAGTCAGATCTATCCTCCTACAGCTCATGGGCTTTGAGCTCTCTGTCCCCTCAGATTTGAGAACTCTGCATCAGGACCTCAAAGTGAGCATTTAGCTTTTCAGTTACAGTCTTAGGTTTGAGGAAGAGGCTGCTCCCAGCCTGCCCCTCACATTCTCTTCTAAACTAAGGTCACAGGAGAAACAGAGGAGAATGAAGCAGCTTTGATTGTGTGGTCAGACCCACAGATGTCCCCTCTGGACCACCATCTATCTCTTGGAAGTGCTAACTACCTATCTGTCATTTACTCCCATCTTCTTTGTTGGGCAGAGGTCATGGATTAGAAACCTCAGAGGCTCGTTAGTTTTGTTCTGGTCCATGGAGTTAGGTTCTCCCTCACTCCCAGCCATCCTGCATACATACAGGAGCGCACCCCACCAGAAACACAGGGGGAACGCACACCGTGATGCTGATGGGCTGAAGAGTGCTGCCTGTGCTGAGTCTCACGTGGAGCCATGAGCACGAATCCTGTGTATGACCATCCATGGGACTAAGGAGATAGTCACACAACAAAAATACATGCTTACCTGGCTGAAGAATAAGGAAAACTCAGGGGTGGCATTTAAAAGACTCTCAATAACCTCTTGCTTTTTTTTCAAGATCATATTGGTCTTAATCTACCTGAAAAAATATTTGAGTATATAGCCTGAGGTGAAAACCTACATTAATTTTTTTTTTCCTAAGAGCCAAATTTTAGAAAATTATTGACTATTAGTCATTTTCTCCAATTGGTCTTTAAAAAAAAAACACAGAATAGAAGAATACTATCTGGTTTTAAACAAGCAACATTTAGCCTTTCTGGTTTTCCCCACCTCCCCAACCCGCTCACACTTTGTAACAATAGGATAGGTGGTTCCTCTCAAGGTAAGGTAAAACACATCAATATTTTTAAAAACCCACTATTCCTTCTGAGGGCATGTCTGGTCACAGGCATGACCATAGGAGATGGCAAACAAGCTTTTGGTGACACAAGACAGTCCAGCAGCAAAGATGACCCATCCAGAGATGGCATTCTAGTGTTCTCCCACCTGGAGGGGAAGTCCTGTGCAGGCTGCAGGAATGTTACTCAGATTCTTCATTTTATACAGAATGGACTCTGAAGGTAGGGAGGGATGGAGGGCATCCACCCTACCTGGGAGCAAGCACTTGGTCCCTCCTCCACCAGTCTCCTGGCTTCTTGCAGGGGTCCCCAACCTTTTGGGCAGCAGGGATCAGTTTCATGGAAGACGATTTTTCCATGGATGGTGGGGAGAGATGAATGGTTTCAAGATGATTCAAGTGCATTACATTTATTGTGCACTTATATATTATTATTTATTTCTATTATTATTATTACATCAACTCCACCTCAGATCATCAGGCATTAGATTCTGGAAGCTGGGGACCCCTGCTCTAGAGCTCTGTATTGGATGCTCTTGTTAGTGAACCACTTGACACGGGAGAAGATTAAGTGACTTATTTACAGGATTCTCATTCCAGTTCTGCAGTCTTGTACCCCATAGCTAGATCAGCTAGCAGTTTGCCAAGGTTCTTTGAAAAATGATTTTTAAGGGCTGTTTATATTTCATATATGAATGTGTCATTATTTATTAATCATTTTCTTATTGCCTAATTTTATTTTTGGCCATGTACATAATTTTTCTCTTTCAGCTCTGATTAGCTCCTTAGGCTACGTTCTTATAAGTGGGTTTACTGGGAGAATGCTAGAAACTATTTCAAAGCTTTTCTTTACATATTGCTAAATTGCTTTCTGAAATGTTGAGTCTTTAGTCTCACCATTAGTGTTTGAGGATAATTAAACTAGCCCATTCTCATCATTGTTATATATTTTTTCATCTCTGCCATTGTGATGAGTAAAAAACAGTAACTTGTTTTAATTTATATTTTTAATTTCTAGAATGATTCTATATATGCTTGCTTTCCATTTGCATTTGTTCTATAAATAAATCAATGTCTTGTGCCCATTTTTCCACTGAGTCAGTGTTTTTCTTAACAATTTAAGAGGTCATTCTACATTACATATGACAACCATTTCTCCATTTGTTCTAAATATTTTATACAGATTGTCTGTAGCTCTTTAACTTGAAATGATGCTTTCTAATCTCTAGAGGGTTTTAACATTTGTACAGTCTAAATTGACCACTATTTTTCTCTGTAATTCCTTTTATTACTTCTTCTCATGCTTTGTTGGCTCCTAAGCAGAGATTGTGAAATAGTCAGTTCATATTATTTGGTTTCCCTTAATTTATTTCTCACATTTAAGTCATTAATATGTCTGGTTAATATTGGGGTATTCTGTACAGGGTAAGACTTTTATTTATTCTCCTCAAATCAGAAAAATTTAAGCATTATAAGAAAATGTAATTTGGTTCAATTCTGATATTTGGGAGTTTATGTCCTAGCCCAGTATGTCTAGTTATAAGAAAATTTTTAAAATACACTAGATATTTAAGAAGGTATTTTCTCTATGTGGTATGAAATTATAAACTATGTGAATTTACTTTGTTGACTATATTATTTTATCAAATATGCTATGTAACGTTCCTTTGAATTGATCTCATGTAGCTAAGTAATATGGTGTCAAAATATGTAAAGAAAAAACTGTTTTCAGTGCTGCAGACATGATTAGTCTTTTTTTTTTCATGCATTTTCTAATATGAAATTTAACAGAAAGTTATAGAGAAACACACTGTTCATTGCTTGCTGCTTCCATGGAAGCTCCATGTCTTCTTTAGTTAAGAACAGATAAAAATTATAGAATGAGAAGACATAATTTGGGTACAAAAAGTTTAGCTGTTTCCATTTAAGGCTGCTAAGTCAATTGTTTTGTCAGAATTAAATTCATTAACTCACCAAAAATCAATAATTCAGTGTAAACCTATGTGAGGCAAATTGATCTTTTATGTTAGCATTTAATATATTAAAATGATAAACATAAATGATATTCATTGAATTGTAAGGTTGTAAATAAAATCATTTGATTTTGGATACTGAAGGTTGTTGTTATGAAAGATTTGGGGGGAATTAGTATTATTTCCTTTTTTAAAATATTTTTTTATGTGGACCATTTTTAAAGTCCTTTTTGAATTTGTTTCAATATTGCTTCTGTTTTACGTTTTGGTTTTTCAGTTGCAAGGCATGTGGGATCTTAGCTTCTCAACCAGGGATTGAATTAACACCCCCTGGATTGGAAGGCGAAGTCTTAATCACTGGACCACCAGTGAAGTCCTAGTATTATTTCTAATGAAGGCAGAATAGTAGCAAATAAGTTTAGGAAGACAAGTGCTCACTGAAGTATGTTGGGTGTGAAGCAGTATAACTTCTGATCCCCCTTTAAAAACATCCCTATAAAATATATGAACCAACATTATTTGAGCTACTTGGCCTTCACATGAATGTAAACATATTTACAGATACATGTAAAGATATATTCTTGGATAGTTTGCAAAATGCATTCCTAGGGGCCAGCATTTAAAATGCTAGGCATACCTAAAAAAATACAAAATCTTCACCATAACACCTAAAAATATTAGGACTACTACCTGAATCTAGATGCTATAAAAACTTAGAAATAAGCAGAAGCAACACAAAAGCATTTTCATTCTCTCTACTGTATGTAGGCATTGCAAGGGGCTGCCATGATGCAGAGCTGAATTTACTGACGGTATTGTGTAAAGGAAGCATGGGGATTACGATAGTGTCCTTATTTGTTAACCTTGCAATCCATTAAAAAATTATAGCCTGTTGGACAGTCATGGCCTCTTTGTGAAAAGAGAGAAAGAAAATATGCTTTTGTGTTACCAGGGTATATTTTTCCTACAATTAATCTTTTTCTTCTCTTCACAATGGTCAACACAAATTGCCAGTGCACCATAATTAAGAAGAAGAACATCTTCCCCCGAAAAAGGAGCAACTCTGCACATTATTCAAAGAAATAATGCGATGTCATTGTACACTTCTGAATACAACAGCATAGACTCTGTGGTCAAATGGCCACTCTCCAGTTATATAAATCCTGTACCATATTTCTCTCAAGGAAAATGCAGGTGCAGTTAAGTCCTATGAAATTCAACATATAAAAATTTTATCAAAACAAAGACATAAAACAAGCAGTTGGTTGACTATTTTATTTTTAAACTTCATACTCAGTTCATATTTAGTTCCTCAGTTTTCATTTGGATATTATTTACTGGTTTAGTGAATGGGGGCAGAGTGTGACTTAGGTTGATAAAAATAAAATTTAATAGTGCATCTAGATCTGTGAATCTGAACCTTCTAGATTCATACCTTCTACTTAATGTACAGATTTCAACAGAAGAAATAGATATATTTCACTTGTTTGTTCCCTCTTATCAAAATTGCCTCTCACCCTCAACTTCATCCCTTTCTATTTCCTTCTGGTGTCCTAAGCCAAGTTCTAGTTAAAGTGTATATAAAGGGAGGGGAGAAAAAAAAGAATGAAATCAGAAAAGGTAGGAGATATGTGGAATAATCTGGAAAAGTGTGTATTGACATAAAAAAATGAAATGAACTGAAATGATGGTTCCTGAAAAGATAGAACACAGTCACTTCAAATCTTCCACAGAATAAAGGTAGGCAACTAACAAGCAAATCAAGTATCTGGCTTTTCCTTTCCCTTCTGGAAGTTGCAACCCTGCCCAGTTTTACCTGAGAGGCACTGATGAGAAGAAACTCGTCTAGTAATTGGCTTATGAGGATAGACTCCAAAATAAAGAGGCTTCAGTTGCTGTGACAAGATCATTTCATTCAGTTTTTTCTGCAGAATAAAATATTCTTCAGATAGCTTTGAGACCTAAAAAAGAAGGTCAGGTGTTCAATTAAATCAAGGAAGGGACTTCAGCCATCTCCACAGACACCCTGGGGATCTGATCAGTTTCTGATCGGCTCCCTGTGGGGTTCTCGTGTCCTTCTTCTCCGGGACTCCCCCTGACCCTGCCGCAGGTCAGATAGAGTGCTCACTCTAGGAAACCTCCTGTTCTGTGCATTTTCCAATCCAAACTGCCAAACACGCCACCCTCCAGAAGCCTCCTCTGCTGGTGACGGCTTCCTGGGGTCCTTGAGCTCCCTCTTCCCTCCTTAACCATTCTGCTGCCCTGGCTTTTCTTTTACCCTGAGGAACCCGTCTGCTGACTTAGACTGTATTAACTCCCTCCTTTCCTGTCCAGGCTTCTTCACGTGGCTCTATTTTTAAATTTTTTAAAACCTTTTTGTTTCGTGTTGGGGTATAGCCGATTAAGAATGTTGTGACAGTTTCAGGTGAACAGTGAAGGGACTCAGCCATACATGTACAGGTATCCACTTTTCCCCAAACTCCCCTCCCATCCAAGCTGCCACATAACATCGAGCAGAGTTCCCTGTGCTGTACTGTATGTCCTTGTTGGTTATCCATTTTAAATATACTAGAGTGTACATGTCCATCCCAAACTCCCTAATTATCCCTTCTCCTCACCCTTCCCCCAGCAATCATAAGTTCGTTCTCTAAGTCTGTGAGTCTGTTTCTGATCTGAGTTCACTTGCATCATTTATTTTTTGATTCCATATATAAGGGATGTCATATGGTAGGGCTACTTTCTTCCTCTTTTCATCTGGGCCCCTCTCTCTACCCTGTCTGATAACACAACCTGCTAGGTTGAAGTGGGGCTCCTACTTTTCTGTCTCTACCTCTGCTCCCATGAGCACTGAACCCATTCCCATGCTGTTATTAGGCAGCTCTAGGTATGGTGATTGCAGCCATGAAATTAAAAGATGCTTACTCCTTGGAAGGAAAGTTATGACCAACCTAGATAGCATATTAAAAAGCAGAGACATTACTTTGCCAACAAAGGTCCGTCTAGTCAAGGCTATGGTTTTTCCAGTGGTCATGTATGGATGTGAGAGTTGGACTGTGAGGAAAGCTGAGCGCCAAAATATTGATGCTTTTGAACTGTTGTGTTGGAGAAGACTCTTGAGAGTCCCTTGGACTACAAGGAGATCCAACCAGTCCATCCTAAAGATCAGTCCTGGGTGTTCATTGGAAAGACTGATGTTGAAGCTGAAACTCCAATACTTTGGCCACCTCATGCGAAGAGTTGACTCATTGGAAAAGACCATGATGCTGGGAGGGATTGGGGGCAGGAGGAGAAGGGGACGACAGAGGATGAGATGGCTGGATGGCATCACCGACTCGATGGACATGAGTTTGAGTAAACTCCGGGAGTTTGTGATGGACAGGGAGGCCTGGCGTGCTGTGATTCATGGGGTCTCAAAGAGTCGGACATGACTGAGCGACTGAACTGAACTGAGATAGATGCCCCATGACTGTACATCTGAATGTCTCAGTCCCAGAGCAGGTCAGGGTCCTAATCTCTGCTTTGGTCTTTAGAGTGAGCATGTTAATCACAAGGAAAGGAAAGACTGTATGTATATTAAACTCATTATTTCCATGTGCTTACACCAAAAAGGACAGGAAGGAGCTGAATTTATCAATGACTGGTCTATGAATAGCTAGAGGTTGGAGATGTTCAGGCCACATCCATAGCAGTCTGAGGGTGTCCACAGGCACTTACTGTGTGTCTTGTGGGCTCAGCCACCATCAGACAATAAGTAGAGATTAGGGACTCAGGAGTAATAGGTAATAACCAATTATGATATTTCTAACCCATTACGCTATTTCTTCTATGATTTCATACACTATTGACTGACTACCCTGGTAGTACATACTCATTTACAATATGCATTTTAGAGGTCATCTAGTGACACTCCTTCACTTTACACAGGAGAGTATAAGGGTACTGACACCTAAAGGGCTCTTCTCAAGGTCAAATACCTAGAAAGAGAGAAAGCCTGAAGGGGACAGGGACAAGACCGTCCCTGTGATCTCTCTATAGCACTACTTTATCAGAGTTCCATGTACAGTAAGTCCCCTACATACACACCTTCAAGTTGTGAACTTTCAAAAATGCAAACGTGCTTTCACACGTCCAATCCCGTAAGGTCACGTGTCTGGCATACACTGTCACGTGCGTGCATCCTCCACAAGTAGCTGTGTTTTGTGTATTCTACTGGACAGCACTGTGTAGAGTGCATGAGTGCAGTGTCTTTATTTATTGCCTGCTCACTCGATGCCAGCCCCTGCAGGCCAGTTGTTGTATGGTACTACTCTACTTTTCAAGGTATTGTACTGTAAGATTAAAAATGATTTTATTTTTGTTTTTATATATTATTTGTGTGAAAAGTATTATAAACCTGTGACAGTACAATATATATAGCTGATTGCATTCGTCGGGTACTTAGGCTAACTCTTTGAACTTAAGAACAAATTGGACTTATGAACATACACTTGGAACGGAACTCCTTTGTATCTGGGGGACTAAATGTACACTCAGGAGAAGTTCTATTGCCCCTTTTACAAACAGCTGAAACACACCTATGAACAGCATGAGATATTCTTTAAGAGGGAATTTTCCTTTGTGATTTTTCTTTATGGTTCCTCATTGTTGTTATGATGGAATATGCAGATGTTCATCTTCACTGCACATGTGTTCAATAATGCTACTTACCTGATTCTGATGCATAATTATGTCTTCTTAAAATATGGGGTAGAGAAAGCATAGATTTTAGGAGATTTTGAAAACTTTTTTTAAACACTATAATGGGAGATCTCAGAAACATGGAAATTTGCATTGTCAAATACCAGCATTTTAGTAGGCTGTATCACTCAATGACTAGTCTCCGTACTTCACTAGATTTCTATCATATTTTATACTGTTTTTATCATAGAAAACTGTTTTAAAATATGTGGCTATTTGAATAGCACAGTCTCTGAAACATTTTATTGAAAAGGTTTGCAGTCTCATGAAAACAGATGAAACAGTTACCAATTGTTTAACTCAGTTATTGTGGAGTTCCTAGAGATCTGTACTAGTAAACACATCTGTTCGTTTACATACCTGTTTTGAAAAAATTGCCAAATCACATGCTTCTTTTTCTGAAATTGCTTTTGCGTCTTTATCACTCTTCATCCTGATGCTACAGGAGTCCTCAAGTTTTGCGGGGTAGGAATATAAATTGTGAGTATTTCTTGCTACTTCTGTCGGTGTTGCAACGACCTTTTGATTTCTAAAAGAAGACATCCTGTCCTTCCGTAACTGCTGCCTCCTCTTGTAGCCCCGGTATTTGCTCTGAATGAACACCGCGGCTCTGTCTTCCTCCTGAGCTTGCGTGGCTGGTTTCCCCTGCCTCTCCCCGACCGCCCCGTGGCCCATGTGGCTCCTTTGACGGCTGCATACAGGTGCATTCTGGGTGATCACAGATGTCTTCTTTTCTTTGTCCTTGCTATTTTCATTTTGACAAACCAACCTCTGGCTGAGACAAGGTTCTAATGTCTTTTTGCAAGAAGACTTGTTAGGACCTGGAGTTTCCTTGTCTGCTGACCAAAGTCCTGGGTAAGTTGGCCTTTCTGGTAGGGTCTTCCGTTCTAGACATGCTGCTTTCAAGTCTTCGAAATTCCTTTCCTCTGTGTACTGCTGATAAAAATTCTCGACCACTGTGTCCTTCTTTCCTATTTTCCTTATCTCACAATTTTCTTCCAAGTCTTTCATATACTTGTTACTAGTGTTTACGTCTGCCCAAGTGTCCTGCACCAGATCTAGTTCTTGCTTAGCCTCTTCCTCGTACATGTTGTTCATTTTTTTCTGAGCCTCAGACTCTGTGTGACTTTTCATAGCATTCGTGGCCTCCCCCTCAGCTTTGAAAGTACAAGTCTTCACTACAGGTGTACTCCCTTTATTATTAATATTTGGAGCTGGAATGACGGTTTCATTAGCAGAGACTGAATTCTCTGTCTGTTTCTTCACAAAAGATTCCCTGTGTAAAATATATTGCATCAGAATATATGATACTAAACTAGAGTTTATTACCTTGCTCAGCAATAGCACATGTTATGTCGGGAGAAAAGCAAAAGAGACAAAAAAACTCAAAATTAAAAACTTATCATGTCATAATAATCAAGTGTTTGCCCAAATTGTCCTCTCTAGGGACAACCGTGATGGCTACTCAGATAATGAGAAAACCAGCATCAACTTAAGAGTGAGAAATAACCTAGCATAACTTCACTTACTGAGGTATCAAAATTCTAGGAATTTAATCACTTCAAGGAGAAAAACCAATATTGCATATTAATACATACACATGAAACCTAGAAACATGATATAGATGGACTTATTTGCAGGCAGGAATAGAGATGCAACGTAGAGAATGGACAGGACATAGGGTGAAGGGGGATGGAATGAAGAGAATGAACTGATGTATTTGGACTGCCATGTGTAAAATAAATAGCTAATGGGAACCTGCTGCATCACACAGGGAGCTCAGTTCAGTGCTCTATGAGGACCTAGATGAGTAGAATGAAGGAGGGGATGTGAAGAAGGTCCAAGAAGGAGGAGGCATGTGTGTATACATACAGCTGATTCACTTCACAGTAGAGCAGAAACTAACACAACATTGTAAAGCAACTATATCCCAATTAAAAATAAAGAGATATGTCCTTTTCCAAACAAAGTACCTACAGTGAGAAGTGTGTAAACTATATAGTGTAGAAACTGTATCTAGATTTGAGACCAGTACTGGGGATGTTCATTAGGCTGGCATGCTGACCTTTGATAACCTCTGTATCTACGGATCACAGAAAATATCTTACAAAATTAAAGGCAAAGCAGTGTTCCTGCTACAGTTCATGATCTTGTAATATGCTGGCCAAAATTTCACAGCTATGCCTTTATTAATATCCTTTCCAAAGGATACTTGGAATGATTTTCCCTTAACTTGAAAATAGATTTTTTGTTAAGAAGGAAAGTGTGGTTATTGGACTGAAATGCCAACAAACTCTCAAATAGGATAAAGGACACAGAAGTGGCCACGGGGTGTCCACTGACATTTGATGCCTCACTGTTAGGAACCCAGTTAGGTATGAGAAAGACTGTGGACTTTATTTCATGACTTTTCAGTGTGAAAAAATCTATAATGTCAAGAGAGTATAAGAATGAATATTATTTTACCTTTTATTTCCAAAGTTTTTCTTGTAGTCAAATTCCTGATCTTGAGCCTGAATGGTTTTTACTGCTGTGTTTTGTGTGTTAACAATTTTCTTCCTTTGTTTCCTGGCTAGATGGCCTCTTGCAGCTGAAACATACAAAGCCCAGAGTAATGTTAATTATAATACATAATAAATATTACTTCAATGGGTAGAAACAAATGAATTTTGACCATCAATGTAAAAGAGGAAAATGAAATTAAAGACTACAAATAAAATAGGTTCGTAAAAAAATATGGGCCTCATTAACAAGACTGTTCCAGATGACAAGCTTTAGCAAGAAAATAATTAGAGTACCTTTCATGTTAAGGGGAGTATTAATATGAAACTAAAATGATAGAGATGACCTAAGTTGATGAAAAAGACAAAATGGACTCATTCATTTCTTTAAAATCTGCTGATTTTTATGTTCCTTTCATTTTTGCCAGGTTCAAACTATTCATGGGAGAAAATCCCTATTATTTAAGTACATGGCTTGGAACTTTTGGCCAGTTATCTTTGGAGCCAGGTATATTTCAAAATTTAGATTTAAAGTTAAAAAAAATTTTTTAGAAAAGTAATTCAGGACAAATTAATATATATTTGGTAACATTCCCCATGGCAATTCAGCATTTCATAATCAAACACATGATTATTTTGCTAGAAAAACACAAATTGTTACTAACTGGGATGAATAAAGGACCATGAATATTAGGTCATGTTTCACTTTCAAGTGAGTTATGAAAAATCTCTTTTCTCAGTGTTTCATGAAGTTTGGAATTGAGGATAAAGAATTAAATCTCAGTTATAGGGTTTTCATTTTTGATGAGCCAGTGAGACGTTAAGGGCTTAAAAGTTGATGAGCTTTTACAGATTGACAGAAGTGGACCTCAAATCTGCTCTGCCCATCATGGCAGTATTCTTCAGAATGTAGGTTGCAAATAAATGGTGGATCATAAAGTCAATTTACTGGGCCAGATCTAGCATCTAGAAATGAAATGGAATAAATCAGAACGGAAAACTATCAGAGTGCATTGTGCATAGTATGTCTATTGGGTTACAGAGTAAAATACACTTTTTACTATGGATATTTAGTCAAAAGTCTTTAAAAGATACTGCATCAAACCATGCTGGATTCTAAATTTTGCTTCTCATAGAAAAACAGAAAGTAAAATCCAAACTCTATTAATACGTTTAATAAAAACTTGTGAAATATGACTATAAATATTCTTTCCCTATGGTTAATAGAAAGAAATGGATGCCCTTTAACAAAATGAGATTTCATTAAGTTGTCAGAAATTATGGCAAGTGTAACCTTTGGCATAAAATAGGGAAAATAATATTGTCCAATGGGTTATAATAATATGATTCTTGAAATGTACAATTAATCCAGTATCTTGCACAATAGGTCAATTGTATTTCAATGTGACAGCAAATTTAAAAATTATTCTGTTTAAAACAAAACATTTATTCAGATATTAAAAGTGTCAATCTCTAAAACAATCATTCAGATTTAATACAGAGACAGTATCAACAGTTTGAAATTAAACACAAAACCTACATAAGACTGGAGGTTTGTAAGTAAGATTTGATTTCATGCCTACATCTAAACATAGCATTATATTTTGTTATACAGTGAGATGCTCTGAGTGGTTACCTGACTGTATTATTATAGCGCTCTCTTTCCTTTTCTCCTGTATTTTTTGGTATCTTCTTGAACCCAAGAATCCTCTGACACAGGCTTGAATCAAAATCAGCTTGTCAATGGCTTCCTTTCGCATTAAATTTAACTGTTCCACATGATAATACTTAAGGAACACCTTAAAAGAATTAAAATAAAATGCAAATAAAACTATGGCATGCAGGTATGAAACAATCGTGTGGTGCTCAGATTATGTTCAAAATATTTTTTTGACTTTGGAAATCATTATCTTTTGCTTCTTTGGCCTGGATGTTGCTATCACCTTATAGATTTTTATGTTTGAAGACAGTCCTTCTTTGAGGTTGCAAAGAGTCTGACACAACTGAATGACTAACACTTTCACTGTCACATAGTTTAACAATCATACTGTTTCTTTGCAATCTAGCTTTTGTTGAATGGCCCAGTATGAGTGGAAGATATCAAACTCTTTCATAAAAGTTTTAGCAATAGATACTCTGGGCAAAGCTAACTTTTATGCTACTTTGAAAGGAAACAAATTCCCCAAACTTAAAAATTCTTACAAACCTATTTGTAAGAGAGAGGACAATTATAGTTATAGGAGTTCATTCACCAATTGTGCATTGAGACCTATGCTATATACTTTTCTGCAAGGATACCAGGGGCACTTTCTGCAAGGACACCAGGGGAACTGCCCCCAGAGGCTCACAGAGCTGTCAGTGGCGAGAATAAGGCAGAGAGAGGGCCCCATGGAGAAAGAATAACTTTCTCGTTGGACCCAGTGGCCACCAGAAAGACCGAAGGACTGATTTTCGATGATTCTAAAATCAAAATGAATGGAAGCAACAAGGGAGCCTGAAGACTTGGAGTTGTTCTCAGCTACGAGATTTCCGCCACCCCCAGGAAACAGGAAGGTATATTTTTTCTTTTAATGGTTGAATGTACTAATGAAAATCACCCCAAAGAGAGTTGATTGAACCCACTAAGAAACTCACTTAAATTCAAATTTAAGAGCTGAGTCATGAGACCTGGTGACCCTGACTAAACTCTCCCAGTACTTTGAAGCCTGGCACCAAGGGCCAACAGTTTAACATTACAGGTCTTGACTGAATTTAGTTTTAATTTCTACAGCCTCTAGATAGATGTTAATATATTTAATCCATTCTACTGTTGACAATTCATTTAAAATTCAATCTATCTAAAAAGGTCATTTTTTTTTTTTTGTATAACATTAGAAATATTCCTATATTGAATCCATCCTAATGAGCTGGAAAAGGTGAAGTGGAAAAATACAAATAGCTTTAAAATGCTACTTAAATATCATGAAAAACTGGAACTGCAAAGGCCTTTTTACAAGTTAAAACTCCATTTGAAGTTAGACATGTGTTTCAGACCATAAATCATGAGATTTCAGCCAGAAAAATTCATCTTTCTGAGAATCTGAAACAAAATGGTGTGAGAAAAATACAGATTAAAAAATATATATATTTTTTTAATGCTCAGAAATTCCCCTCACTAAATACTAAGGTAAATATGGACTACTGAATATGGAATATGGGCTTCCCTGATAGTTCAGTTGGTAAAGCATCCACCTGCAATGTGGGAGACCCCGGTTCTATTCCAGTGTTGGGAAGATCTGCTGAGAAGGGATAGGCTACCCACTCCAGTGTTCTTGGGCTTCCCTTGTGGCTCAGCTGGTACAGAATCCTCTCACAATGTGGGAGACCTGGGTTCGATCCCTGGGTTGGGAAGATCCCCTGGAGAAGGCAAAGGCTACTCACTCCAATATGCTGGCGTGGAGAATTCCTTGGACTGCTTTAGTCCATGGGGTCGCATAAGAGTTAGACATGACTGAGCAACTTTCACTTCACTGAATATGGAGGACACTCAGTATAAGATAAAACACTTAAAAACTCCCTAATTCTTTTCAGGACTAACTTGTCTTTTTTAAAATTAATTTTTATGGGAGTATAGTTGATTTACAATGTTGTATTAGTTCTTGCTGTAAAGTAAATCAGTTACAAGAAAGACAAATATCATATGACATTGCTTATATGTGGAATCTAAAAAATATAGTACGAATGAACTTATTCACAAAACAGAAATAGAGTCACAGATGTAGAAAACTAATGGTTATCAAGAAGGAAATGAGTGGGGGAATAAATTAGGAGACTGGGATTGACAAATAGATACTACTATATATAAAATAGATAACTAACAGCCTAACTTTTCATCTGAACATTATGAAAACCCTGTCCCACACCTCCTGCAGCTAATACAAATTTCTTGGCAAATGTGGAATTTCAGTCCACATCTATGGTGTGGCTGATAGAGGTTACTCTGAGGTGGTCAATCTGAGTACCTCTGTCTTAGCTTGGCTCTTTTTTCTCCATCTTCCCCAGTGATACATTTAGTGTCCTCCCAGGACCTGGTACCATGTTTATCTCCTTATTTCCAACTTGTTTGTAATGCTCTGAGGATATCTGAGAAGCAAATGCATCCTTTTTCCAAGAACCCACCTGTCTTACTTCCATATTCAAAATGGATGATGATTTTGTACTTCATTCTTTAAGGGGTTAAATAAGCTAAGATCTCATAGGCTCTCAAATTTGACACATAAACATTCCAGTATCCAAACCCTATAGTGAGTCTAGTAATAACATTTCACTCCAGATAAATTTCAAGTTTACAACAAAAACAGATTTGAGAATTAGGAAAAAAAGAAAAACAGAATCCTACTGAATTCATTATGATTTTCAACAGCTTTCTGACTATATTTGGTGGTAATAAAATAGAGAAAATAAAAAATTTTCTAGACTCATACGTTCCACCCTTTTGGGGATAAACCTTCAAGATATATTTTTCTTGAATTTATTAAAAGAAATCTGTATGAGAGCAAAATATTTAATTCTGCTGAAGAAAGAAACCTTTACAAATTTATCCATTTTCTTTCCCTATTTCAAGCTAGAGATTCTATAACATGAAAAGCCATGATATTTTCTATCATTACAATATGTAATTTTCCATACATCCACTATAAGTATTACTTTTTTTCTTTGAAAAGCACATGAAAACATTACTTTGGTTTTCCCAAGAGCCCAGTTATCAAGACCAGCTTTTTCCAAAATGGCGGCACATGTGTCAGGACTCAATGGAGGCTCTTCACACCACTTGTAGCAGAGAACTTGGTACCTTTGAAAGGGAGAGAGGGCTAGTTAGTATTTCAGAGTCTCAGGAGCCTAGTGGGTCCTTCAGGCTTCTTAGAACAATTCTTCAGTAAACTGAATTCCAGACTATCTACTTGTGTAATTTGTGTTTTTCACTTCAGTGATTCCTTTTCAACATATGATCTTTTAGTGGTAAAGCCTTAACCGTTTTTTTTTTCCATCCTAATCCCAAGTGCTCTTTCCTTGTGTCCCCAACATTCCCATCTCACCCTGGCCTCCCATTTCTCCTTCTCCCTCTCAGTCTCTTCGACGGGCCTCATATTTAGACTTGCTGCTTAAATGTTAGATTTTTCTGAGTTCTGTTTCTTATTAAGCTCTCTCCATGTGTGTCTCATCTACATGCATGGCTCTAACTGTTCCCTATATGTGATGACTCCTATACATACAGCCTCAGCCCTGTTTTCATAAAAAGGAAACACATTACTCATGGTTGCCTGCTAGACACCCGCACCTGCTTATCCCACAGACACTTCAGACTCTGCAAAATGCATCACCTTTTCTTTCCTCTGCTAGTGCCTATCTCCGTGAATGATGTCAACCCCTCTTAAAAGTGAAAGTCGCTCAGTCATGTCTGACTCTTTGTGACCCCACGGACTATATAGTCCATGGAATTCTCCAGGCCAGAATACTGGATTGGCCAGCCTTTCCCTTCTCCAGGGGATTTTCCCTACCCAGGGATTGAACCCAGGTCTTCCACATTGCAGGCGGATTCTTTACCCTTCTTAAAAAGGCTCTAAGACTAGGAATCTGTGTGTCATCCTAGATTCTCCACTATTCTTTACTCACTGCATCCAACCAGCTTGTGCTTTGCTGTGCCTCTTGATTTAAACCCAACATACTGACTCTACTTTGTTTTTATGAGTTCACTTCATCGTTTATATGGTGACATTTGAGACCACAGCACAGGAGGTATTAAGTAATTTGGGGAGTTTGGGACTGAAGCAAAAATAATAATGAAGATAGTTATAGCTGAAATGTATTGTCCATATTTGGTTCTATCTGTAGCCTTCATAAATATTACATCATTCAGGGCTCATAACCACCTATACAGTAGATGCTAACTAACATCATCACCCTTATCTGCAGATGGGAAGACTGAAGCTCAAATGTTACTCAAGTAACGCTGAACAAGGTCACACGTTTAGTGTAAATGGCAGAACTGGGATTCAAATCTGGATTTTCTCACTTCAAAGCATGTGTACTTCTCCCTTCGCTAAATTCTGTTTGTGTTAGGGCTCTGACAGCCAAACAATTGTGCGTCGGTGACTGGTGGAAAAATGGATCCAACTTCAGTAGCTTTTTAGTATAATATAAGGCCTCATTAGAAACAACTACAGTAAAAACCCAGTCTCTTATGCAAAGTAAGTTCATGTTGTGTGTCTTCCTTTAGGATTATCTCTTTGTCACACAATGGATAAACAAACAGTTTATCCATAACAGAATGAACAAAGGGTCTGATGATTTTACATCTTACAAGGAGGGTTAGTCAAAGGATAAGGCTGGACAGGGAAGGTTATTTAGTCCTATTTACACCTCCACAGGGCCTTTGCAAACTGTCCTGCCTTCCTAAGAGTCTATGCCAATTCAGATGACAGTTTTCAAATTTGTGACAGAGAAAAGGCTTATTAGCCTTTTATTTCTGGAGCTTTCTAGATTCAGAACAACTATTCACATGTTCACCAGAAATTTAGTTTTTTTCCTTATTCACTTATCATATAGTAATTTGCTATTTTATAATAGCATGGGGTTGGAAGCATATTCAAAAACTTATTCTCACTTCTGACCTTCCAAATAAGTAATGCTCAACCGCTCAGTCATGTCCAATTCTTTGCAACTCCATAAACTGTAGCCCACCAGGTTACTCTGTCCATAGGATTCTCTAGGCAAGAATACTGGAGTGGGTTTCCATTTCTTTCTCCAAAGTAAGTAATACAATACATCAACTACAAAATCATCAAGAAAATAAGTTCAGCTCTTCTACAGTCCATGTTGCAAAACCATGGATAGTTTTGAAACTCCTGGTTTAGTCTAGCATTCAGGGCTCTCTCTTAATAACATTAACCTGATCAGTTTTCCCATTTGATCCCATCTTTATCACTCCTGTAACTTCACTAACACACACTGCTGAGCCAGTCTCACCCACATCCCTCTGGTTTTCAGAGCACCAACCTCTACACATAGATGGTCCCTTCCTGTCTTCTCCATAAACCATGCCCCCCACCAGATCCCACTGCAGCACTTTTTCTTGATATTCTCTCTTATCAGCCTTCATGGAGATCAGCCTTCACTTTCCTAAACTCTTACACTACAAACCATCTCTTTGGATCTTGGTGTTTATTACCCTACACTGTTTACTAATTTTCCACGTCTATGGCTCTGAGAATCCTAACTGGATTGTTCATTCTTGAGGACTAAGTAAGTGTTAAATTTCACTGTCTTCCAGACTAGATGTGAAAGTGTTACTCACTCAATGATGTTTGACTCTTTGCAACCTCATGGACTGTAGCCTGCCAGGCTACTCTGTCCATGGGATTCTCCAGGCAAGAATACTGGAGTGGGGATAGCCATTCCCTTCTCCAGGGGATCTTCCCAAACAGGGATCAAACCTGGGTCTCCTGCATTGCAGGCAGACTCTTTACTGTCTGGGGCCATGAGACTAAATACAGAAAGAGAACTAGAGAAAAGGGGAAGATAAAAGGGGATTCCCTGGCAGTCCAGTGGTGAGGACTCCATGCTTACACTGCATGGGGCATGGGTTCAATCTCTAGTTAGGGAACTAAGATCCTCCACGGCACATAGCCAAAAAGTAAATAAATATGCTGTCTCATTTAACATCACAAATAACCTTGTGAAACAGGTACCATACAAAAAAGAAAAAAAATGGACTTAAAATTATTTTCAAAATATTAATCTAAGTTAGGTTAATTCCAGTATATTCCAAGTAGATAATTTTTTTTTTAGCTGTTGAACTTCATCTTAAAAAATCTATAAGCCACATTTAAGGTCTATTGAGTCTTTAAAAAAGTACAGATAATCACAACTTCCTTTTGATTTCTAACATACTAAAGGTTGATTATTGTGCTTACAATACAATAAAGAAAAAAAAATTCACTGTCTTCCATAGTATTTAGCACAGTGCCTCGTGTATAAAAACAGTCACTGAAGTTTAAGGGTACTTCTCTTAAGATTAAATTAATGTTATTTATATTGATAGTTGAGCAAGTTAAAAATGAACTCTTTAGAAAACTGAAAAATATGATGATAAGGTCAAATTTTAATTTGCGGAGGTGGTCCTAAGATGGCGGAGGAATAGGATGGTGAGACCACTTTCTCCCCCACAAATTCATTGAAAAAACATTTGAACGCCAAACAAATTCCACAGAACAACTTCTGAATGCTGGCAGAGGACATCAGGCACCCAGAAAGGCAGCCCATTGTCTTCTAAAGGAGATGGAGAAGTCGTGAGGGTACTGTAAGAATAAGACTGAAAACCAGAGGCAGGAGGCTTAAGTCCAAATCCTGAGAACACCAGAGAACCCCTGAATCCAGGGAACACTAATCAATAGGAGTTCATTAAACCCCTCCATACCTACACTGAAACCAAGCACCACCCAAGGGCCACCAAGCTCCAGAGCAAGACATACCACACAAATTCTCCAGCAACACAGGAACATAACCCTGAGACTCAATATACAGGCTGACCAAAGTCACACCAAACCCACTGACATCTCAAAACTAATTACTGGACACTTCATTGCACTCCAGAGGGAAGAAATCCAGCTCCATCCACCAGAACACTGACACAAGCTTCCCTAATCAGAAAACCTTGACAAGCCACCCATCCAACCCCACCCACCCACAGTGAGGAACCCCCACAATAAAGAGGAACCACAAACTGCCAGAATACAGAAAGGCCACCCCAAACACAGCAATATAAACAAGGTGAAAAGACAGAGAAATACTCAGCAGGTAAAGGAACAGGATAAATGCCCACAAAACCAAACAAAAGAGGAAGAGATGGGGAATCTACCTGATAAAGAATTCCGAATAATGATAGTGAAAATGATCCAAAATCTTGAAAACAAAATGGAGTTACATATAAATAGCCTGGAGACAAGGATTGAGAAGATGCAAGAAATGTTTAACAAGGACCTAGAAGAAATAAAAAAGAGTCAATATATAATGAATAATGCAATAAATGAGATAAAAAACACTGGAGGGAACCAACAGTAGAATAACGGAGGCAGAAGATAGGATAAGTGAGGTAGAAGAAAGAATGGTAGAAATAAATGAAACGGAGAGGGAAAAAGAATTAAAAGAAATGAGGACAACCTCAGAGACCTCGGGACAATGTTAAATACCCCAACATTCGAGTCATAAGAGTCCCAGAAGAAGAAGACAAAAAGAAAGACCGTGAGAAAATACTCGAGGAGATAATAACTGAAAACTTCCCTAAAATGGGGAAGGAAATAATCGCCCAAGTCCGAGAAACCCAGAGAGTCCCAAACAGGGTAAACCCAAGGCGAAACACCCCAAGACTCATATTAATCAAATTAACAAAGATCAAACACAAAGAACAAATATTAAAAGCAGCAAGGGAAAAACAACAAATAACACACGAGGGGATTCCCATAAGGATAACAGCTGATCTTTCAATAGAAACCCTTCAGGCCAGAAGGGAATGGCAGGACATACTTAAAGTGATGGAAGAAAATAACCTACAGCCCAGATTACAGTACCCAACAAGATCTCATTCAAATATGAAGGAGAAATCAAAAGCTTTAGAAACAAGCAAAAGCTGAGAGAATTCAGCACCACCAAACCAGATCTCCAACAAATGCTAAAGGATCTTCTCTAGACAGGAAACATAGAAAGGGTGTATAAACATGAACCCAAAACAATAAAGTAAATGGCAAAGGGTTCATACTTATCAATAATTACCTTAAATGTAAATGGGTTGAATGCCCCAACCAACAGACAAAGACTGGCTGAATGGATACAAAAATAAGATCCCTATATATGTTGTCTACAAGACACCCATGTCAAAACAAGGGACACATACAGACTGAAAGTGAAGGGCTGGAAAAAGATACTCCATGCAAATAGAGACCAAAAGAAAGCAGGAGTAGCAATACTCATATCAGATAAAATAGACTTTAAAACAAAGGCCATGAAAAGAGACAAAGACGGACACTACATAATGATCAAAGGATCAATCCAAGAAGATATAACAGTTATAAATATATATGCACCCAACATAGGACACCACAATATGTAAGACAAATGCTAACAAGTATGAAAGGGGAAATTAACAATAACACAATAATAGTGGGAGACTTTAATACCCCACTCACATTATGGATAGATCAACTAAACAGAAAATTAACAAGGAGACACAAACCTTAAATGATACAATAGACCAGTTAGATCTAATTGATATCTACAGGACATTTCAGCCCAAAACAATGAATTTCACCTTTTTCTCAAGCGCATATGGACTCTTCTCCAGGATAGATCACATTCTGGGCCATAAATCTAGCCTTGGTAAATTAAAAAAAATTGAAATCATTCCAAGCATCTTTTCTGACTACAATGCAGTAACGTTAGATGTCAATTACAGGAGAAACACTATTAAAAATTCCAACATATGGAGGCTGAACAACATGCTACTGAATAACCAACAAATCTCAGAAGAAACCAAAAAAGAAATCTAAATATGCATAGAAATGAATGAAAAGGAAAACACAACAACCCAAAACCTATGGGACACTGTAAAAGCAGTGCTAAGGGGAAGGTTCATAGAAATACAGGCTTACCTCAAGAAACAAGAAAAAAGTCAAATAAATAACCTAACTCTACACCTAAAGCAACTTGAAAAGGAAGAAATTATGAACTCCAGGGTTAGTAGAAGGAAATAAATCTTAAAAATTAGGGCAGAAATAAATGCAAAAGAAACAAAAGAGACCATAGGAAAAATCAACAAAACCAAACGCTGGTTCTTTGGAAAGATAAATAAAATTGACAAACCATTAGCCAGACTCATCAAGAAACAAAGGGAGAAAAATCAAATCAACAAAATTAGAAATGAAAATGGAGAGATCACAACTGACAACACAGAAATACAAAGGATCATAAGAGACTATTATCAGCAACTATACGCAAATAAAATGGATAACTTTGAAGAAATGGACAAATTCTTAGAAAAGTACAGCTTTCCAAAACTGAACCAAGAAGAAATAGAAAATCTTAACAGACCCATCACAAGCATGGAGATTGAAACTGTAATCAGAAATCTTCCGGCAAACAAAAGCCCAGGACCAGATGGCTTCACAGCTGAATTCTACCAAAAATTTAGAGAACTAACACCTATCCTACTCAAACTCTTCCAGAAAATTGCAGAGGAAGGTAAACTTCCAAACTCATTCTATGAGGCTACCATCATCCTAATACCACAACCAGACAAAGATGCCACACAAAAAAAAAACCACTACAGGCCAATATCACTGATGAACATGGATGCAAAAATCCTTAACAAAATTCTAGCAAACGAAATCCAACAACATATTAAAAAGATCATACATTATGACCAAGTGGGCTTTACCCCAGGGATGCAAGGATTCTTCAATATCTGAAAATCAGTCAATGTAATACACAACATTAACAAACTGAAAAATAAAAACTGTATGATCATCTCAATAGATGCAGAGAAAGTCTTTGACAAAGTTCAACATCCATTTATGATAAAAACCCTCCAGAAAGCAGGAATAGAAGGAACATACCTCAACACAATAAAAGCTATATATGACAAACCCTCAGCAAACATTATCCTCAATGGTGAAAAATTGAAAGCATTTCCCCTAAAGTCAGGAACAAGACAGGGTGCCCACTCTCACCACTACTATTAAACATAGTTTTGGAAGTTTTGGTCACAGCAATCAGAGCAGAAAAAGAAATAAAAGGAATCCAGATTAGAAAAGAAGAAGGAAAACTCTCACTGTTTGCAGATGACATGATCCTCTACATAGAAAAGCCTAAAGACTCCACCAGAAAATTACTAGAGCTAATCAATGAATATAGTAAAGTTGCAGGATGTAAAATTAACACACAGAAATCCCTTGCATTCTTAGACACTAACAATGAGAAAATAGAAAGAAATTAAGGAAACAATTCCATTCACCACTGCAATGAAAAGAATAAAATACTTAGGAATATATCTACCTAAAGAAACAAAAGACCTATATATAGAAAACTATAAAACACTGATGAAAGAAATCAAAGAGGACAGAAACAGATGGAGAAATATATCATGTTCATGGATCAGAAGAATCAATATAGTGAAAATGAGCATACTACCCAAAGCAATCTATAGATTCAATGCAATACCCATCAAGCTACCAATGGTATTTTTCAGAGAACTAGAACAAATAATTTCACAATTTGTATGGAAATACAAAAAACCTCAAATACCCAAAGCAATCTTGAGAAAGAAGAATGGAACTGGAGGAATCAACCTGCCTGACTTCAGACTCTACTACAAAGCCACAGTCATCAAGACAGTATGGTACTGGCACAAAGACAGAAATATAGATCAATGGAACAGAATAGAAAGCCCAGAGATAAATCCACGAACCTATGGTCACCTTATCTTCGACAAAGGAGGCAAGGATATACAATGGAAAAAAGACAACCTCTTTAACAAGTGGTGCTGGGAAAACTGGTCAACCACCTGTAAAAGAATGAAACTAGAACACTTTCTAACACCATACACAAAAATAAACTCAAAATGGATTAAAGATCTAAATGTAAGACCAGAAACTATAAAACTCCTAGAGGAGAACATAGGCAAAACACTCTCCGACATAAATCACAGCAGGATCCTCTATGACCCACATCCCAGAATTTTAGAAATAAAAGCAAAAATAAACAAATGGGACCTAATGAAACTTAAAAGCTTTTGCACAACAAAGGAAACTATAAGCAAGGTGAAAAGACAGCCCTCAGATTGGGAGAAAATAATAGCAAACGAAGCAACAGACAAAGGATTAATCTCAAAAATATACAAGCAACTCCTCCAGCTCAACTCCAGAAAAATAAATGACCCAATCAAAAAATGGGCCAAAGAACTCAACAGACATTTCTCCAAGGAAGACATACAGATGGCTAACAAACACATGAAAAGATGCTCAACATCACTCATTATCAGAGAAATGCAAATCAAAACCACAATGAGGTACCATTACACGCCAGTCAGGATGGCTGCTATCCAAAAGTCTACAAGCAATAAATGCTGGAGAGGGTGTGGAGAAAAGGGAACCCTCTTACACTGTTGGTGGGAATGCAAATTAGTACAGCCACTATGGAAAACAGTGTGGAGGTTCTTTAAAAAACTGGAAATAGAACTGCCATATGACCCAGCAATCCCACTTCTGGGCATACACACCAAGGAAACCAGAACTGAAAGAGACACGTGCACCCCAGTGTTCATCACGGCACTGTTTACAATAGCCAGGACATGGAAGCAACCTAGATGTCCACCGGCAGACAAATGGATAAGAAAGCAGTGGTACATATATACAATGGAATATTACTCAGCCATTAAAAAGAACACATTTGAATCAGTTCTAACGAGGTGGATGAAACTGGAGCCTATTATACAGAGTGAAGTAAGCCAGAAAGAAAAATACCAATACAGTATACTAACACATACATATGGAATTTAGAAAGATGGTAACGATAACCCTGTATGTGAGACAGCAAAAGAGACACAGATGTATTGAACAGTCTTTTGGACTCTGTGGGAGAGGACGAGGGCGGGATGATATGGGAGAATGGCATTGAAACATGTAAATTATCATATGTGAAATGAATCACCAATCCAGGTTCGATGCATGATACAGGATGCTTGGGGCTGGTACACTGGGATGACCCAGAAGGATGGGATGGGGAGGGAGGTAGGAGGGGGGTTCAGGATGGGGGACACATGTACACCCAGGACTGATTCATGTCAATGTATGGCAAAAACCAATACAATATTGTAAAGTAAAGTAAATTAATTAATTAATTAAAAAAAACAAATAAAACTACAAAAAAATTTTAATTTGCAATTTGAAACTCAAGAACATGTGGGTTACCTGCTTTTGTGTACAGATTGGAGAATTTCCCTATGTTACCTGGGTCTCCCAGCTGACAACAGACAGTTCCAGCCCCTATTAAGAGTTACCTTCTCTTTTGATACACAATCACTTTTGTGCTTCCTTTCTAGAACATCTGAGTCATTTTCTTTCTGTTTCCTATCATTCTTCTCAAGAATTTTTATATAAAATGTCCAAGGAAACTTAAAAAGAAGTTCACACACCGTTTTATAAAGTTGGCAAAAAGTATCCGATGTGAATACCCCAGCCTTCGGATTCTTGCTGTTTCCAGAATGCCTGTGTAGCGAAGCTGGAGCACAACCTTTTCTTTGTCATATTTTCTTGCCTGACGTTCATTGTTTGGTTTGATGCAGCGGACGAAGTGAGGTTGGCCAACCACCATTTTAGATAACAAATCCATCAGAGAATACTGTAATATGCAACAAAAATAAAATTCCCAGCATAGCATATAAACACTTAAGAGACTGCACATCTTTCTTTTAATTAAAAGAATAAAATCTGAAAACTGAGTGTTATACAGTAATATATAATTTTTATAAATGCATATAATTAACATGCATTAATAATTGTATTTATAGTATTTTTAAAATATACTATATTTATGATATTTACTATTAAAAATGTAGAAGCAATAGCTAGGAATGTACGTATTAAAAGGTTTCCTGTAAATTCTTACGGCAACTTTAATTAATAGATAATATTATTTTCTCTTACCACAACTTTTATTAATAGGCTTAATTAACATGAAAATGTTACATATTAATTTCAAGGCTGGTGCTTGGGATTGGAAAGGTCCTGAATATTATTTTTGATATAGTTTGTTTGGAAGTAATTATATCCTCTCAGGGAAATTTGACAAATTACAATATTTAGGCACACAATCTGGTTTCCTCCTTATACTATTAATTTCCTTGTCTAGCTCTTTTTTTTTTTTCTAAGAAAGTACAAAGTCTTTGTCAGTTATCATCTCCTAGGTTAAAACAAGGACTGAGAAGTTAATGCACTTTAATATATGACACAGTTGTGTGTCTGTGTGCTAAGTCACTTCAGTCATGTCTGACTCTCTGAGACCCCATGGACTGTAGCCCACCAGGCTCCTCTGTCTAAAGGATTCTCCAGGCAAGAATACTGGAGTCGGTTGCCATGCCTTTCCCCAGGGAAGGCACAGTTATAAAAACAAGCAAATCCATTAGGCACTTAGGTACTCTAATCTGCTCTAGTTTGATGATTTTCTTATTTTAGAAATATTTTAATCAGACAGATAAGAAAACTGTCTTCTGCAGCAATACCTTATTAAAACAGCAACCAATTGCTGGATAGCCAGCAACACAGTAGGATAATCATGGTTCAACAAAAAGTAGAATCTCAGAAACCTAGTGAGAAATGGAATATTTCCTGCCATACCAGTAAACAAAGGATGTCACAGTCATTAGCAATTGCAGCCACCACTGATGGTGAGCTGGTCAGCCCTGAGGGAACTCAGGAAGGAAAGAACACCTGCCATCTAGCAGCCATCAGACTGCAGCCACTCCCTACTGTAAGTCATGAGAAAATTCAAGATGTGAATATACAGAATATTGGCCCCAGATAGGTGAAGTGCATATCAAAGGAATAATTTCAGTGAACCCAGACTCTTGCATCTTCCTATACACAGAAAAGCACTAAATTCCTCAACTTCAGATATCTGGTTTTCTTTATCTAACAATAATCTTTTGATGTTCGGACTACCTGCCCTTTGTTGCAAAACTTCTATATACCCTGGCTCTCCCCTCATCCCTTCAGGGCAGTTTTCTCAGGGTTACTTGAGATGCTGTCTCTCAGGCTTGAAGTCCTAAAAATTCCCACTGAATAAAGCATAACTCTCAACTTTTAGGTTGTGAGTATTTTTAAAGTCAACTCCAGAAAAGATGCTCAACATCACTCATTATCAGAGAAATGCAAATCAAAACCTCAAGGAGGTACCATTACATGCCAGTCAGAATGGCTGCCATCCAAAAGTCTACAAGCAATAAATGCCGGAGAGGGTGTGGAGAAAAGGAACCCTCTTACACTGTTGGTGGGAATGCAAACTAGTACAGCCACTATGGAAAACAGTGTGGAGATTCTTTAAAAAACTGGAAATAGAACTGCCATATGACCCAGCAATCCCACTCCTGGGCATACACACCGAGGAAACCAGAACTGAAAGAGACACGTGTACCCCAGTGTTCATCACGGCACTGTTTACAATAGCCAGGACATGGAAGCAACCTAGATGCCCACCAGCAGACAAATGGATAAAAAAGCAGTGGTACATATATACAATGGAATATTACTCAGCCATTAAAAAGAATACATTTGAATCAGTTCTAATGAGGTGGATGAAACTGGAGCCCATTATACAGAGTGAAGTAAGCCAGAAAGATAAACACCAATACAGTATACTAACGCATATATATGGAATTTAGAAAGATGGTAACAATAACCCTATATGCAAGACAGAAAAAGAGACACAGATGTATAGAACAGACTTTAGGACTCTATGGGAGAAGGCGACGGTGGGATAATCTGAGAGAATAGCATTGAAACACATATATTATCAAGTGTGAAACAGATCGCCAGCCCAGGTTGGATGCATGCATGAGACAAGTGCTCAGGGCTGGTGCACTGGGATGACCCAGAGGGATGGGATTGGGAGGGAGGTGGGAGGGGGGTTCAGGATGGGGAACACATGTAAATCCATGGCTGATTCATGTCAATGTATGGCAAAACCCACTACAATACTGTAATTAGCTTCCAACTAATAAAAATAAAGGAAAAAATAATAATAAAGTCAACTCCAGTATGTCAAAGACCAGGATCACAACCGTTGAATATACGGACAGAGATAGCTGTTGCTAGCTGAATCTCCTTTACTGATGGACATGTCAAGCCTGGGTGATGAAGCCAGTGCAAACTAAATCCTAGAACTGGGCAACTGACAAAGCACTGGATTTGCATGGCTTTCTCATGGGCACTGACATCCAATTGTGAGCTTCTTCAAACAGCTGGGCTCTGACACTATGGGGGCCTTTTCATTATATTTCTCAGTAATGAAAGTGAGTAATGAAAGTGATTCACTCTCTAAAGTGAGTCATGATCACTTTAGTCCCACATCTTTTAGGCACTAGAGATAGAAGTGTGATGGACGTGTCTGCTGGCATTCTGAGCAAGAGTTCCTTGAAACTTTGGCAAGGGAGTTTCTTAGGGACCAAGGCAGATTGCTACATTATGTTCATTCTCTGCAGAATGAAAAATAACTAAAAACAGGTTACATACTGTATGGAACATATACATAGGTTACATACTTAAAATATATTACATACTATATGGAATATATCCATTTTCACTGCAGTCTGAGGTACAAAACAACTTTATGAATGAATGGTTTTAACATACACACAGTGTTTGATGTCAACAACAGTGGTATGATAATGGTCTTGCATAACTCACTTAAAGCAAAAGAGATAATCTGGCTGTAAATACTGTCATTCAGCTGTGCTGGAGCCTGCTCTAAGGTGGATGTACCTGAAGCAAATGAGATATTCAGCATATAAATGCATGAGGTGATACTCAAAGGTGATTAAGCACACACAGTCTGCTACAAGCTTAGGACCTGAAAAAATATTTAATAAAGCTACCCAGTTATTTTTAAAAGTATTTCATGACTCTGTTGAGAACTGGATTTATTCACTGAACACAGAGTAAATTTAACCCAACTTCCTCCTCTCCCTCCATGTTACATGGAATCAATAATTTCTAAGTTTTAGGTGGTATCATTCATTTTCATTGCCTGGTTAATTACCATTTCATCAGCAGATATAAACAAGACCATGAACTAGTAATGAAGGCAGAGTAGGTTCTCTAGTACACAGATAGAACAAAGGGCTTCTTTCCTTTGCTATCTCCTATCTTGTCCCAGGAAGAAAAGTCACCTTGATTCCACACTGAGGTCACAGTGAATCACTTCCTTGGCACGTTACTGTGTTTCCCTGGTGTCCCTGCTCTTTGCCCCATGTCTGCACTGGCTCTATTTTTCTCTTGAGGTTTTCAGCTCATCCAGGTAAAGGGAGGTATTGATGGAGATGAATGCTTGACCCTGTCCCATCTGTCTGTCCACCCTAAGATCATTTGGGGCTTGAAGAAGGATTGGTGGTTATCATATCATTGAATGATAAACCTTTTTAGGCTTTATTCTAGTGAAAATGTGCTTGGTTCTATGGAAAAATTGCAACCAAGCTATGGACCTCCCTTAAGACTGACCTAGTATACAATAATTTTATCAATAAAATACCAAAGTAAACCAATCCACAGGTTTTTGACAATACCTAATATATCCTATATCTAACAGATAGTAAATGAAATACAACAAAAATTCTTCTTTGCTAATAGCATTGTGATATTTGTTACTTACTTTTAACCAGCAACTCTCATTTAGAATAAATAACATGCTTAAGCACAACACATCATAATATCACATCTTACTCTAAAATAGGATGCAACTGTTTGTGTTTTCATGTTGGTTGTCTCTCTGGCATGACGAGTGGCTTCTCCAGTTTCACCCTAAGACCAAGAAAGACAGTGATGCTTCAGCATCTGTTGTACTTTATGATCTACAGGGAGTACGTGGAACCTTCCTTAGTCTACCCTTTCACATACATAAAATGACAAAACGCTGAATTTTTACTTTAAAGTAATTGTTTTTCAGTCTCACTGGGGTTTTAATCAGTTTTCCACAGGATGTGAGTATCTCTGACTTTAGCTAATACATATTTAGTTGGGTCTTGGAGTAACATTAAAACTAATTATAAAAGAGGAGCTTGAACTATATCAGAAATGCATGATTATTTATGTGACAAGCAGTAATATGAACATAATAATATCTGCTGAAGTAGAAAAGAAAGATCAAAAAGAGAAAATGAAGGGAAAGGCTGTTTAGCCTTCTCATACACATACTGCCATTGTATGAGAAGGTTAGGTTCTTAGACTTACTGCCATGAAAAACGTTTTCTCACCTTTGTCAGGTTGGTTGATTTTTCTGAAGTCTTCATTTGATAGTTTATTATGCTTTTAGTTTGAGAGTGTGGCAGATTACCTATGGGAATGCAGAGAAAATTCATACACCTTTTAGAATCCGTAATGGCTACACGTTTCCTCCACTTGAAGGTTAAAATGAGAATTGCTGGTCCCACAATATGCATGCTTGGTTAACTAGTCACTGAGACACTTAGAAATAAAACAATATTACTCAAAAATCTATAACTAGTGTTAAATTCAGAAAAAAGTAAAACTTCCAGCTTAAAAAATAGAAAAAGTAGAGGTAAGTGTTAGATTTCCTTTTAACTGCTACAAGATATGGGGTGATTAGGACAAAGGGACCAATTTGCTTCTCTCTGTGTGTGTTTTAAATAGCACCTGAGATTTTTTTTTTTTTCCTTTTTTTTTAATGTGGAAAGTCTTTATTGAATTTGTTACAATATTGCTTCTACTTTATGTTTTGGTTTCTCGGCCACGAGGGACGTGGGATCTTAGCTCCCCAACCAGGTATCAAACCTGCAGCCCCTGCGTTGGAAGGCAAAGTCTTAACCACTGGCCTGCCAGAGAAATCCCCTGAGCTTTTCCTTAATGCAAATGTCAGCTTTACAATGGACCTTAAAAATCATATGGATCATTAATTCACATGAAGTAATTATATGCAAATCAAACATGGTTGAGAGCAAAGGACGTTTTCAACCTAACATTCAGAAATATGTGCCTGGTGCTGGGCTATATAACTGTACACCACCGAGGTTATGAAAACTCATGGTGTAGTGAAAATATTATGCCCTTTGAAGCCAGGAAGACCTGGGTTTACATACCAGCTGTAGTGCTTAAATTGCTGATTATTTACTTGGTCTCTGAGTCACAGTGTGAGTCCATAAAAGGGGGATGATAATGTCCACCTCACGGGATTTTGATGACGTGACAGTGGGTCTGGCATGAGAGGAGTGCCTGGAAATGTTAGCTGTCTTTCACTCCTTGCTCACCCTTCCCACCACCCCCACCAAGCGCAGGACACCAACCAACTTACGATCCATGAGTTTATCATCCTAGTAGAAGGGTTTGAAATATCTCCAGAATTCAGTGTCACTTTAGGAAGACTGTTTTTCTTGTGTCCTTTTAGGCAATAAGTAGAGGCTGTGTGTTTTGGAAAATCTTTCACTTTTTCTTTTTTTCTTTTTTTTTTTTTTGCCTTTTGGTGGCCGCAGAAGGTTGGCTCTGAGCTAAGGCTGCAGGAAGGCACCCTGCCTGGGCTGTGGCTGGCTGTGCCACTGCTCTGCTCTCATCCCCCTCCCCTCATCACTTCAGGAAAAGCTCTGGGGTGAGAGCATGGCTTTTCTGCTGGGCTGAAACTGCATATGCACAGGTGACCCTTGAAATGAGACTCTTCCTGGACACAGGTGAGTAGACAGAGATGGTCACCAAGCATTGTCAGAGGGGCAGCTTCAGGAATTATGCTTAGTGAGTTTTTTAATTTTGTTTTTGTTTACAATTACCAGGGAAAGTTTTGGAAAAGAAAATTTACTTGGGGAAAAAATGACCATCGACTTAGAGATTTCTTGGAAGCATGATGAATATACAAAGTGCAAAGAGTACATTAATTAGGATAGACCCATTGCTTTTTTTTTCCATTTATTTTTATTAGTTGGAGGCTAATTACTTTAAAATATTGTAGTGGTTTTTGTCACACATTGATATGAATCAGCCATGGAGTTACATGTATTCCCCATCCTGATCCCCGCCCCCACCTCCCTCTCCACCCGATCCCTCTGGGTCTTCCCAGTGCACCAGCCCTGAGCACTCGTCTCATGCATCCAACCTGGGCTGGTGATCTGTTTCATTATAGATAATATACATGTTTCGATGCTGTTCTCTCGAAATATCTCACCCTCGCCTTCTCCCACAGAGTCCAAAAGTCTGTTCTGTACATCTGTGTCTCTTTTTCTGTTTTGCATATAGGGTTATCATTACCATCTTTCTAAATTCCATATATATGTGTTAGTATACTGTAATAGTCTTTATCTTTCTGGCTTACTTCACTCTGTATAATGGGCTCCAGTTTAATCTGTCCCATTAGAACTGATTCAAATGAATTCTTTTTAATGGCTGAGTAATATTCCATTGTGTATATGTACCACAGCTTTCTTATCCATTCGTCTGCCGATGGGCATCTAGGTTGCTTCCATGTCCTGGCTATTATAAACAGTGCTGCGATGAACATTGGGGTGCACGCGTCTCTTTCAGTTCTGGTTTCTTCGATGTGTATGCCCAGAAGTGGGATTGCTGGGTCATATGGCAGTTCTATTTTCAGTTTTTTAAGAAATCTCCACACTGTTCTCCATAGTGGCTACCCATTGCATTTAAAAACCTATATTCGAGGGGGGTTCAGGATGGGAGACACATGTACACCCATGGCTGATTCATGTCAATGTATGGCAAAAACCACTACAATATTGTAAACTAATCAACCTCCAATTAAAATAAACAAATAAATTTTAAAAACCCTATATTCAAAAAGAAGAAATTTTCTTAAATCAATGACTTTTCACCTTAGAAATTAGAAGACAAAATAAACCCCAAAAGAAAAAGAAGAAAACAATAAGACAAAAGCCAAAAAAAAAAAAAACCACAATAAAATAAAATGAAAAATTCAATAGGTAAAATCAGTGAAACTATAAGTTGGTTCTTCAAGAATATCAATAAAGTTGGTAAACCTCTAGAAAATCTATCAAAAACAAAATGAGAGAGGACACAAGTTATTTTTATCAGGAATAAGAGAACAGATATAACCTCATGATCTACAAATATCAAAAGGATAATAAGAGATTATTATCAACTTTATGTCAATAAATTTGACAGCACAGATTAAACAAAGTTTTTTTAAAAGATAAAACTACTCTAAAGCCAATTAAAAAATAAAATAACTTGAATAGCTTTGTATTTATCAAAGAGTTGAATCTGTAGTTAAAAGCCTTGTCACACACATACACACAAAAACCCTTCAGGTTCAGATGACATCCCTGGTGAATTCAACAAAGTCATTTAGAAACAAATAATAGTCACCCTGGGGGGGCTTCCCTCATAGCTCAGTTGGTAAGGAATCCGCCTGCAATGCAGGAGACCTGGTTCAATTCCTGGGTTGGGAAGATCTGCTGGAGAAGGGATAGGATACCCACTCCAGTATTCTTGGGCTTCCCTTGTGGCTCAGCTGGTAAAGAATCTGCCTGCAATGCGGGAAACCAGGGTTTGATTCCTGGGTTGGGAAGATGCCCTGGAAAAGAGAAAGGCTACCCACTCCAGTATGCTGGCATGGAGAATTCCATGGACTATACAGTCCATGGGGTCGCAAAGAGACACAACTGAGCGACTCACTAATATTCACCCTATTTTTCCTGAAAATTGAAGAGGAAGCATTATTTCTCAATTCATTCTATGAGACCAGCATTACTGTGATTTCAAAATCAGAAAAAAAATTATAAGAAAACTACAGTCCAATATTCCTCATGAACATAGATGCAAAAAATCTTAACAAAAGGTTAGCAAATTGAATCTGGCAATACATAGTCAAATGCATCATGACCATGTCAAGATTTTCCCAGGAATTAAAGTTAGTATAATGTTCAAAAACCAATACATGCAACTAACCATTTTTATAGATTTTAAAAATAAAACAAAGTAAAAGCAAATAATCATCTCAGTAGATGGAGAAAGGGCATTTGACAAAATTCAAACATGCATGCTTGATAAAAACTTAGGAAACTAGAAACAGAAAGCAACTTCCTTCTGATTAAGGACATTTATGAAAAACCTACAGCTAACATATCATAGTAAATGGGGAAAAACTGAAGGCTTCCTCCAAGATCAGGAATAAGCCAAGAATGTTCACTTTCACCACTTGTATTCAACGTTGCATCTGTGATTCCGGGCAGTGCAACCAGACAATATGAAGAAACACAACATAAAAAGAATGAAAAAGAAAGGGCAAACACTCTAGTCACAGATGACATCACCATCTATGTAGAAAACCTATGGAATTAACAAAAAAAAGCTACTCTAACATGAGTTTAGCAACATTGTAGGGAAAAAGATCAATACACAAAAACCAACTGCATTTCCATATACTAGTAACATACAAAATTTGAACTAAAAAGCACCATTTATTAGAGCATAGGATGTGATATGATAGCAGATAATTTGACAGAAAACATGCAAGACTTGTACACTGACAACTGCAAAATGCTGCTGACAGAAATTAAGGAAGACTTGAAAAATAAGCATATTGTGCTCCCTGCTTGGAGGACTCAATATTATGAAGACAGCAGATACCCCAAACTAATCTATAGCTTCAGGGAAATCCAATCAAAGTCTCACCAGCATTTTGGGTAGAAATTAATAAACTCATTTTAAATTTACATGGAAAGGCAAAGAACTATAATCATACCTGAACAACTCTGGAAAAGAAGAACAAAGCTGGGTGACTTATATTACCTGATTTCAAAATTGTTAGTAAAGCTAACAGTGATCAAGAAGTATATTATTGGCATAAAGACAGACATATATCAGTGATACACAATATAGTCCAGAAATAAACAGTCTCTCTCTCCTTCTCTATCTCTTCAAGGATGCCCAAGCAATGAACTAGGGAAAAGAATAATCTTTTTAACAAGTGATGCTGAAACAATCAGATAGGGGCATGAAGGGGAATGAAGGACCATAAAGACTCAAGAGGAAGCAGCATTTGGGGATAATGAATTTGTTCACTATTACCTGTGGTGATGGTTTTACAGGAGTCTATGTATGTCAAGGCCTCATCAAACTTTACTAAGTATGTGCTGCTCATTCTATGTCAGTTATGCCTCAGCTATAATATGGTTGAATTATATCTCAACTATAACTCAAACTATAAAAAATGAAGTGCAGAGAATAATGTTAAACTCCAATAAAGAAAAACAAACCAAATTACACTTTTTGTACTTAAAAGCAAATGGAAAGATTATATAGTTGGTTGGAACAAAGGCATGTGACTTTTTAATCAACAAGGCAGAACTCACTAAACTTCTGCAATCTTGAAGCATCATCCCACACGGCCCACTCCTGACACAGCAGATAATTCTAAACTCTCTGGGGGTGACTGCACTCTTCTAATGAGAAGCTCGAACACCACCAAACTTTCTGGTGAGCACTTCAAACACTTTACTGGAAACCTAGCTTCTTTATAAAACTAAAAACCGACTCACACATACAAAAAAAATGGATGGAAATTGCCTCAGCTTACCTGTTCTTGTCAGAGGATGGTTGACTAGCTGTCGAATTACACTGTTTTCTGATGACCTCAAAAGGAGCACAATATCAGTGGGAAGAGTGTCTCTATTTTTAGCTAAGAACCCACTTGCATTATAGATGACCTGTTGATAAAGTATGTTACCAACACTGTCACAATCAACGTCATCATCATTATCATTATCAACAGACACATGTGAAAGTGTAGAAGTGTTGGTCACTCAAGTTGTGTCTGACTCTTTGTGGCCGCATGGACTGTAGCCTTCCAGGCTCTTCTGTCCATGGGATTCTCCAGGCAAGAATACTGGAGTGGGTTGTCATTCCCTTCTCCAGGGGATCTTCCCAACCCAGAGATTGAACTCAGGTCTCCTGCATTGCATACCATCCGAGCCACCAGGGGAAGCCCACATTAATAGATACATATAGAAAGCTTACTCAGTGCTGTGTGACAGCTACACAAAGATTTATAAAGGCAATCCCTACAACTTGGCTAGAAATGTGGACCTCTTCAGGTTTACACTACCTATTTTCAGAGACAAATTTGTGCCTCACTGATTTTATTTGGGTGGAAACAATCAAAAAGGTTTGATTCCTCCCATTTATTATAGTGGAAATGTTGTGTGTTTCCTATCTCTATTTGGAGGGTTGGGGCCAGAAAGGTATTCTCATTTCTATGATAATTGATTCACCTGCAGTGAAAAGGCCTTTATAGAATTCACTCCACAGTGGTGGGGTCTACATATACTGTGGGTGTTTTGTGTTTCTGGCACTTCTCAATAATTGTAAGATTTTTAAAGATCAATGTAACCCCAAAGTTTTGGTAGGGTGGTTTAATGTGGTTGTTTTTAATGAGGTGAATTTCATCCCTCCAAAATTAGTTTCAAATCTAACCCCCAATGTGACTGTATTTGGATACAAGGTCTTTAGAAGGTAAGGAGGGTTAAAAGAGGTTTAAAGGTGATGCTCTAAGCCCACAGGACTGGTGTTCTTATAATACGAGGAAGATATACAGGAAATCTCTTTCTCTTCCCTACAAGTACATAAAGAAAAGGCTATGTGAAAACACAGAGAGAAGGCAGCCACCTGCAAACCAGGAAGAGAGGCCTCACAAGATACCAGATCTGCTGGCCCCTCGATCTTGGACTTCGAGCCTCCAGAACTGTGAGGAAATACAATTTCCATGGTGTTTAGGACACCCAGCCAGAGGTATTTTTGTTACGGCAGCCTGAGAAGGCTAATATAGTTAAAAAATAACTGGATAAACTGATTATAGGAAATTCTTAATGATTGTTTTAAAGGAGACTTATTTATAAAATCGTGTGCCAAAAATTATGAGTAAGGCTATAACTAAAATATTTAAGGTAGATTTTGCTTTCAATGACAAAAGTCTGGAATGTTGACTGACACAGAAGTTCTATCAGAACAGAATTCCTGGTGTTCTGTTATTCTATTTGTTTATGTATTTCTATGAATTCCCCTTCTTGATTAAATATCTTCTTAGTCCTCTAATATTTATAACGTCATTGTGAGGGAAAGATCTGTCATTCTCTACAGAAGGAAAAGAAACCTTCTTCTGGGTGCAGGACGACATATCTGAGGTTTGCTCTGGTATAGGAATGTGTATCCATCAGTATATAAACATCACTTCCTTTAACCGCATGTCAGTCCATCAGCTAATCCTATCTAATTAATCAGCTCAGTTATCTGGCCATACTTCCTGCCTGGTACCTTCTCTTGTGTGGAAGGAGGAGAGACAAAGGCTGCAGTAGACAGAGAAGGATCTCAAGTCTGAAGAAGGCAATTTATATAAAAGGTTCCCAGTTATCATTAAAAGAAGGGAAAACTGCCAGCCAACTGCAGCCCAAGCCAGAACTTAGGATCAGAAAGATGGACTCTTTATGTCATTATAACTATCTGCAAATATTTGGGGCCATAATTTTCATAGCTTTATTATTCAGCAAAAGACTAAAGAGAATCTCAGTCACAGTGCTTCAAAGTTCTTACCTTTCCTGCATAATGGTGAATTCCAAAACTAAGCTCCATTCTTTTAGGTCTCCAGAAGTACTGTGATTTCAGATTACCTTCAAATTTTTCTGTAGAAAAAAATTTAACTCCAAGATTAAGCATGTTGGAATGCCTCAAAAAATACTGATTGACAGAATCATCTCTTTCACCATAAAATGGAAAATGTGCAGTGAAAAAACTGAAAATTTTATATAACTACTACATGTAGATTTGTAATATAACTATAAATGGTAAGGTAAAACTTGAGATCATGAATTTTACCATTCCATTACGATTCAGAGCAGCAGTACTTAAACCTTGGCAAGCATCAGAACCACCTGGAGGGTTTGTTAAAATAGACTGCTGGGTCCCACCTCCAGAGCTTCTGACTCAATAGGTCTTGGAGTGGGATCCAAGAATTAACATTTTTAGCAAGTTCCCAAGGGGGAAGATGATGTCCCTGGTCTAGAGACCACAGTCTAAGAATGGAGGAAAGAAACCAAGTACTTGAAGTTGTCCAGAGAGCTTTGTGAAATACAACTGGATGTGAAACCATGAGCCTAGACATATGGTATTTTGTCTCTCTTTTCTCTAAGAGGAGCTATAGTTTATTATTGATTACACAGGAAACACAATAGGATCATAAAGGAAGTTCTACAATAATTTTACAAACACAAGTTCTCTGTTATTTCATGTCATGGAAGGTACATTTTAACATGAAAATTAAGTGACTAGTATGAAATGATTTCCCCACAACTTTGGGGTTACTTTCTTTTCCATTTATCTCTTTTCCATTCTGAGAGCTGTCCTTTTGCCCTACCCTTCCATTTCTAATTTTGGGCTGGATGATCTCTAAGGTCATTTCTAACATAAAATCCTATGGTTGGGGCTCTACCATAATATAAGGTGAAGTTGAATATTGAAATTTGCTTATCACTGAATATTTCAGACTATTATAAACATTCACTCATCCAGGTATTAGATCAAAAGACTCTTCTTTAAAGTTAGATGTCCAAACTTTGAAACAGCAATATTCTACTAAGTAACTTTAAAAATTAAAAAACCATTCATAATCACATGACTGCATTATATGAAAACTATGCAGACATACTGAATTTAAAACTCACCTACAAGAGTTTGATCGGTGGCCTTGGGAAATCTACTTTCTTCATCAAGGAGGGACAGTAAACCCATTGGCTTCTGCAAAAACATGTCTAGGAGAGGCCGGTTATCTTCATATTCAATAACTCTAGCATCAATATCTTCATTTAGGTATTCATTCTATAATGGGACATGACAGGCATAGAAATACTTAAAATTTTGTGAACAATATGTAAACTGTATTACCTAAAATTCTGCTCTACATATAAAAAATTGCTCCCTATGACCTTGCCCTGAAACTGAGGGTATCATTTTATTTCTCTCTCTCCAGATCTGCTAGTTCATTAAAGTCAGCACTGTTGATATTCAGGGTAGCAATAAAAAGCTTCTATTCCCTGTATTAGAATTCCCCCTATTAGAATCTCAACCTTTCCAGACATGGGGGACTATGTTGCTAGTGAGCTGTAATAAAATCATGTTACATAATTTCTTTTGTTAATGATTTTTTTTTTAATGTGAACTGTTTCTTAAAGTCTTTACTGAATTTGCTACAATACTGCTTGCTTTTTATGTTTTGGCTTTTGGCTGTGAAGCACATGTGATCTTGGCTCCCTGATCAGGAGTGGAACTGGCACCTCCTGCATTGGAAGGCAAAGCCCCAAACACTGGACCACCAGGGAAGTTCTCAAGAATTGACAGAATATTAATTGGGCATATCTTAGGGTCACATTTTCCCCAACGTCAGCCTTTTATCTAACTTCAGAAATGCTGAATCTCTCAAGAACATCATCATGATGACATTGACATTATTTGGGATGAACAACTGTGGTTCACAGGAGCCACCCATGGATGAAGAACCAAGAACATGCGGGGGCCCATCTGGGCTCTGCCGTCAGGAAGCATTTAACAAGAGGCTTCCTGTGTGCTGTTTTGGATCTGTCAGGAACCCTCTGGCCCTTATTAATTCCTAAGTATTCAGGAATTAAGAGGAGAGGCACGCCTTTCCTGGGGCTGAGGAATCCAGGCATTTCTCATTACAGTGATAAGTACCCTCTTCTTTTTTATGAACCATACGGTAAAAGGTGATTGTTCGCAACTCTATGATAGGGATTGTCTTATATTTTGTATATCTGGAATTTTAATCTTTATCTTTGCTGAGAATAACTACCTTGTAAGACAGTATATATGCCCACACCATATTGATTAAAACACCATTGCTCCATCAGAGCTTGGATCCCCGTGTCTTTCTTTCTCTCTTTCCTTTTCTCTCTCTTTCAGGCTAATTCCTTGGAGCGCGGAGGCCCGCTGAGCTCACTTTCTTGCCCAGGCTTCTAAGACCCTCTCGACAAGGCACATTGTGCCTTCAGCCACTCGAGAGGGCGCCTGGTGCCTACATGCAGCAGTGTAAGCTCTAAGAACAGGGCTTTATTGGCCTTCCACGTAAACCAGGGGATATTAGCCTCTTTCTCTCTCTTACTTTCTTATCGTCGACTCCAGACCACCAGGTTCTGGTCCATTAAACACTCTGCCACTTAACTAGCCACCTGTCCTTTGGAATTTTCTTCCTCTTAGATGTCCTTTTTCTCATCTACTGAATGGAAGTAACAATCTCCACTTAACAAAGTAAAAATACCTGGTACACTAGCAATCATTTGTGGTTGAGTATACTGTAATGTCAAATGCATAAAATAAAAACAATAAACAACAATTACTGTAAGATGGTAGTACCAGCACAATATAGATGCCGATGATCTATTTTACAAAAGGGACGGGAAGAATCATGCTGCAGCTTTGCTTCTATGACTTTTGCCTTCACACTGTATCCTTCCCCACCCCCAGTGCTGCAGTCTGTAAGAGATGACATAGATGACCTCTGAACTCTGACCTTCAGAGACACTTACATGGAAGGTACATGCCAGGTCTCAGGTTCTAAAGCAGCTATTGCTGGGGAAGTATAACAGATAATCACTCTCTGGGGCAGAACGTTCTCCTCCATTCACAAACTCAAGTTACATGCTATTTTCATTACTATTTTAATATATTCTTGAATATATATTTTTTATTCAATATATTCAATAATCAATAATATATTCTTCAATATAAATATTTTCATTGAACACTTTATAATAAAGCACTGTGATGGATGATAAAGAGATGTTTAAAACAAAGTCCCTGTCCTCAGTGGATTTAAGATAAACTGAATGATTAGTAAATAAATACTTAAAATGCAAGATAACACAGGTTAGATAAGTGCTATGTACAATGTACTACAAGGGGTTCTGAGAAAGAGAATTTATCTGGGATCTTGGTGGAAGAATTCAGCCCACGGCAGGCGGGGCATTTAATACGCAAATCTTTTAACCACTGCTTTTAGAGCCTTATAAAATTCAAATCACAGTTTGAGTGTCACCAGGAGAAAAATTAACATGTATTTTTAAATACAACAAAATCTTAATACATAAAAATGAGGCAGAACCCACCGCTCTGAAAGGTAGATCACCTGAAAGACATCCAGTTTACCCAGTACAAAAAAATGGAAACTTACAAAAAATGGAAACCGTGAAATGAAGTTTCACAGCTTTTCCATTGGAAGGTAACCTTGAGAGATGTACACAGACCTAGAATTACTTGACTGTCAGACACATTATGCTGACAGCAGATTATAGCTTAAATGGCAACTCCAAAGTTCAAAGAGGCTTTGTATGTTTTCTATGGAAAGTGTGCAAGGTTAAGGTCTAAACCAATGCATTTTTCACTTCTATTTGCTTGTGTCAAAATCCACTGACTGCTTTGGTGGCAGGTTACACAGAGCAGAGATAAGTAACTTGAAAAACAATGGGCTAAGACTTTTAAGACACTGGTTAGTATCTCCAGGCAAACTGATGGAGAAAAAAAAATGCTGTTAGGATTTACAAAGCACTCTTAGTAAAATGATTATGCCTGGAACAATACATTATGTATTCTTAGAGCTGTTATGATCTCAAAACATTGTTGTTTTTAAGTATATGTGGAAATATGTAGCCCATATAACTACTCAGAAAGTCCTCTGTTACGCCCTGTACATTAAAAATACCTTCAAAGAGGATAAGTAGAGTGTTTTTTGTTTGTTTGTTTTTTAATGTTTACTTATTTATTTGGCTGTGCTGGGTCTTAATGGTGGCATGTGGCACCCATTTCCCCAACGAGGTATTGAACCCAGGTCCCCTGCACAGAGAGCAGAGTCTTATTAGCCACTGGACCACCAGGGAAGTCCCCAGTAGAGTTATTAACTACAGTAAAGCTGAGCTGTTTAGCATATAAAATCCCTACTCTGTTCAGGTGCCCCAAATTCCTTTTGAAAAAGGGATCATTTTAAATATATATCAAGGAGAAAGGAAGTGAGAAGGTGTGTTTGTTAGAAAACTTCATGCCTGAGATAAGATTTGCTTGTTTTGCAATGAATTTTGAGTGTGAGGTGTGGAGAGACAGAGTAGAAAGAAAGTCTATGGAAGATGCATCCATAGCTCCAGCCTAAACCACAAGCTTAAATATTTTGGGTCAAGATGTCACCCCAGGAGAGATTCAAGATTACTACACTGTCCTCAGGCTCACACAGCAGCGTGGAAAGGTGGCTACCATTAACAGATAGAGTCATGTATATTTAGGGGTAGGTGGTGTGAGGCTGCCAGGGTTAATACCATGACAGGCGGCCTGGACCTAAGTTTTTGCTTCCCCCGAAATGATAAGATTCCCTACCCCCATCAGGTAACTTGAAGCCAGCCAATATGCTCCCAGTAAGAAACAAAGGAAGAGCTGAGAAGCCCGCGAAAGTTTGTACCAATAAAATTGCTTTGCAAACATGTAACCAATCTGCTTAAGCCAGCTACTAACCTCTTATGCATACCTTATAAATTTGGATAACAGCCTTTGTTCAGGGCTTTTCTGACCTTGCGCCACTGTGTTGGTCGCAGCAGAAAGCCCTGACTCGAGCCAGTAATAAAACTTCCCTTTTTGTAAATTGCATTGTCTTGGGAGTTCTCTCTTCCCACTCAGGGATTCGGACATCGGGCAGAACAGGTGGGACCGGGGAAGGGAGAAATAAGGATGAAAAAGGTAGAGTTCCTGTCCTCTGCATGCGTACTAGGTCGCTTCAGTTGTGTCTGACTCTTTGTGACCCTATGGACTGTAGCCCACCAGGCTCCTCTGTCCACGGGATTCTCCAGGCAAGAATGGAGACATGGAGTGGGTAGCCACGTCCTCCTCCAGGGGATCTTCCTGACCCAGGGATTAAACCCACGTCTCCTGCGGCTCCTGCACTGCAGGAGGATTCTCTACCACTGAGCCATCCAGGCCCTTAGGGCACAGGAAGAATGCTCTCTGCCTTTCCACTTCAACCTTTACGTTACATCCTAGGACTCCTCTGTTTCTGCTATATTCTCTTTTCCAGTTGCTGCATCTATGAGGTCTATGTCCTTCCTGTTAGGGAGTCTCTACGTTGTCCCACTGCCACCGTCTCTGTCACCGCCACTGCCACCTGCCTCAGCGCTACCGTTCTCTTCACCTTCCTTCCTTCCTGATTTAGGTTGATTCTCCTTGGCCTTTCATGTGAAAATACTTTCTCCCTCTCCCTCTTTTTCCTCGCTTCCTTCCTCTCTCCCTCCTTCCTTCTTCCTTTCTTTCAATGAGATGGAGCATGTTTTCTTCTGTATGAGAGAATACTTTGTTAGGTTCCTGGTTCTTTTCAACTTTATTTGTTAATGAGAAGATGCTTGGATGGGTATCAGAAACCTGGATTCAGCCCTGGCTTTGTTTAATCAGCCTGTAACACTGGGCAAGTCGCAGGGGGTCATTTTGTATCTATGAACTGTATAAATGATCTACTTAGGTTTCTTCTGGTTTTAACATTTCAAAATGTTGACACTGCCTGAATGTGTTGTAAAACTTAATAGATAAGTGAATTTGTTGTTTACAGAACATTTGCAGGGGGAAAGAGGCCACACATATACATTTATTCCCCGACGTCTGTCTTTTAGTAAAAGAATTCTTACTCACCAACTGCTCATATGAGTGTACATATTTATGAAAATGTTGCCCATGTGGAAAGAAACCATTGAGAGGTTATTCATTCTAAGAGAGAATGAAAACCTTATAGGTTGAAAATCTGTGATTTGGGGTGCTATCAGTACTTGAGGTGAATTAAG